CAAGTTTAGAAAAGCAGCTCAACTGCAGGCTTGTGCAATCCTTGTAAGCCTTGACCCGTTTTGTGTCCCGGCTTCCGGGGGGGGGGGGCAATCTGCTTTTTGAGAGCCTCCTGAAATTGGGAGGGCAGATAATCTGTTTTTTCTCTGGGTTGCCATTTTCGATTGGCCCATTATGGGGGTGGGGCTTCCTAGGCTCCCCTTCTTGTCATTTTAGGCATTTAAGCTCTACTCTAGAAGAGAGGTGCTCAGCTGCAGGCAGGTGTGCACTTTAAGGAGGTGTCTTACCTGTGGCATGCTTTCTGGGCCTGCATGCCACACGTGCTTTCCAAGGCAAGGAGGCAAGTTTACTCCAGAGGAGGTGCTTGGCTATAGCCAGGTGCTTGTGCTTTCTGGGCCTGCACACCACACACACTTTCCAGGCAAGTTTACTTTATATGAGGCATTCAGCTGCAGGCAGGCAGGTATACTTTCTGGGCCTGCATTCCACATGCACTTTCCAAGGCAAGGGGATAAGTTAACTCCAGAGGAGGCACTCGGCTGCAAGCAGGTATGCACACTTTCTGGGCCTGCACACCACACACACTTTCTAAGGCAAGGATGCAAGTTTACTACAGAGGAGGTGCTTGGTTGCAGGCAGGTGGATGCATTTCCTGGACCTGCATGCCACTTTCTGAGGCAAGTTCTCTTACTTGCAGGCAGGCATGTACACTTTCTGGGCCTGTATGCCGCACATGCTTTCTTTGCAAGGCAAGGACACTGCTCATGAAAAACAGGCAAGGAGCCAAGATTCACTGCTGCTTGCTTTCGTGAAGAACTGATATTCATACCAGGAGGGGTCTTCCCATTATGTACTCCCAAAGGTAATGAAAGTAACAAAAAAAATGGATGTAACGAAAGAAAACGGATCTGCGTACAACTCTAAGCTCTAGCCAAAAGCACTTAATTTCATGTTACTTCCTCTTTTGCAATGTCTAGTCTTGCCATCAATGTTTTAAGTCTAAAGCCAATCTGTCATATTTGTCAACTCACCAATAAAGCCTAGAACTAACTAATAGCGTTTAATTCAAAAATTTTGATGACTCTCCTACATTAGTAGTGGTACCTGTGTGCTGTCAAGTCGTCTCCAATTTAAGGTGACTTTAATATAGAACTTTCTTTTTTTTTTCTAAATAAATAATTTTTATTACAAAATATTATCACATAATATGGAAACAGTATAGGACTTTCTTGACAAAATTGATTTTGTGGAAGTTTACCACAGCCTTGCTTCTGGGCTGAAAGAGTGTGACTTGCTCATGCTGAAGACTTGAGCATTTCCATGGATGAGCAGGAGTTTGGACCCTCCCCCCACCCCACCACCCGTAAGACTCAAATTACATGCCCTATATCAGAGAAAGCTTATCTAAACAAAATGCATTATCAAACTATTGAGTTTCTCACTGCCTGCAAATAACACCTCAGGCATGGGGCAAAACAGAGCACAGAAATTAGAGGTGTGATGATATCACATCAAGCATTTGATATCATTGATCATTACAGAGGAAAGAGGCACAAACTGTTGCACTTCTGGATTCCAACTGCGCGTCATCTAGCTTTGACTTCATAAACCTCTATATACTCATGTATAAGTCTAGAAATTTTAGTCAAAAAATCAACCAAAAAACCTGAGTCAACTTATCTGTGGATCAGTATGAGTACTGTACCTTAACTCTTATTGAAAAGGAACCATGCCTTGTCTGAGACAAGTGGCAGAAAGCAACTGTTTAGTCCATCCTGGGAAAACCTAAAAGAAGCACCAATTCCCTCTCCACTCTCGGTGGTAGCAGCCAGGGGCAGCTGGTCTCCTGAGTCAGCAATGGTGCTTTCCTCTTTCTGCAGAATGACTCTTCACATATCCATGAGTCATATCAAAATCCATAATTTTTCCCCCAAACCTCCCTTGACTTATACATGAGGTTGACTTATACATTATTATATATGGTAGCTTGCAATATGCTTTATGGGAACTGTCCTCTTCTTGTGAACACACAGTCTTAAGGACTTATTATTTCAGCTCTCTCTTGGGACACAGTGAACTCACATCAGAAACAAAACAGGTAGTTTGTGACAGATGTGTTAATATAAAGGTATTAGGCAGCCATCTGGCTCTCAGGATGAGCCCAAAAGTTAATCGGATTAACTCTATTTCTGGCAAACAGAATATGTAATTTAATAAATTGCATATTAAACAAATGTTCTTTGCTTTGAAATGTCTCTTGAAAGGCCACATAGAATTTTAAAACAAAGGGTGGTTTGATGCTATGAATTGCTGTGATGTTATGCCCGGAAACTGAAAAACAGGACTTTGAGGAATTGCAGTTTTCAGAATTTCCCAAGCAGCCTGGCCAATGGCCACACTGATAGGAAACTTGTGACACATTTATCTAAAAAATAAAATATTCAAGAAACCACAAAACTTGAGGTTGCTTCACTTACCTTACAATATGTTCCTTGCAACACTTTATCACATAGGAACATGCTTATATTTCATGTTAGATAAACATTTGTTTAATTTCATTAATTAATTAGTTGCATATTGGTATTTAATTTGTGGCTGGAGAGCATAGTGTTCAGCTGTCAATCAAACATTGAACTGAACTGTGCTAACAGTGTAATTTGGCCAGTATAACTCTTTTGATGATGGTAAAACAATTATTTTGACACAATCATTATAATATTTGTTTTTTCCCGTTTCTTGAAGTCAAATTGCAAAATCTGTATCATGAAAACACATGATTAGAACTGAACTGGTTTTCTTTTAGTCCTGGTGTTAAACAAAAGAAATCAACATTGCTAGGCAAACTATTGCTGTGCCCAAGTGATAGTAGTTGTTTTAAAGTCAACATGTCTATACTGCCATTTATGAAAAGATTTAAAGTAATATTGATTTTACCTCAGTTGTTATTGTTTTGTTAGTTAAATTAAGATGCCATGTTTTCCCCAGAGCAAGCTAGAAGACAGTTTGTATGATACGAGTTTCAAATCACAACAAATTTACAGTAATATTTAAAACCAATTAAATCATTTCATTTAAAAATCTATTTTAAAATATATGAAAGTTTTAAAAGATAAATAAAACATCTCGATAAAATAAATCTCTCCATACATTAAAAGATTCCTTGAGCAGGAAAGTCTGCCTCCTAGCAAGAGGAGAACATCCTAATCTCCAAAGGAAGGGAAATCCAGAGAATGGGAGCAGCTATTGAGAAAACTCTCTCATATCCTCACCAATCATAGCAGGATTTAGAGAAAGTCCTGCTCTGGTGATCATGGGGTTCTGGTGGGTTCATGTCAGAAGATACAGTCTTTCATCAATTCTATTGAAATTGACAAAATTGAAAGGATTATTTTACAGTCATTTAGTTTATTCTGACACCTGGCGAAAAGGGGGGTTGCTTGAGACAAATACATTTCAGTCTTATCCACATAATGGTACTGTAGTGCTCCTCGTGCAGAGATGCCTTTAATAATGCTGGACAGCCATTAGGAACCTTGAGGTGGCTAAGTATATGCATTACTCTATACCTATATGGTGTTAGTTGCATTGGCTGTCTACTGATGTCCAAGCTTGATTTAAAGTGCTGTTAAAGACCTCAGTGGTTTGATCCTAAGTCATCTGAAGGACCATCTACATCTGTGGCCAAGGGACACATGAAGCTCTCTGGTTTGTGCCTCACACTAACCCTCTCATCACATTTCTCCTGGAATTTCATTGAAACCACTCTTTCCCTGGTTCCAGTAACAGTGAGGAAAGTCAAGATTGGTGTGGGGTAGGTGGGCAGAGAAGGCTCTTTATTGTATTTTGGAATGCTCCCTCTCTGAACCTTTGTTTGGAATAGGGTTCCATAGATGTGGGAGTATCCCTGACAAAGTTCCTTCTCCTCGTGCCCACCAACCTGGATAACCACTTGAAAAAAGTCTGCAAGGATGATTTCAAAGCATGTGCAGATTGGTACACATGGACGTCCTTCAAATAATCTGCTTCCTTCTATTTAGGACTTTAAAGTTCAAAACAAAACATGCACTTTGAATTATGTCCAGATATGTCCTAGCAACCAGTGTGGCCAGTACTTGGCTGCCCTGGTCTATGATTTGTGCAGAAACTTCGCCAGTAGCAAACTTCTGTCAAAAATAGATCTGGTCGCTAAATAGCTCCTATAAAACCAAGAACGGCTGTTCTGACCCTCCTGTCCTTCTGAATATGTGAGGGGCTGCATTTTGTGCCACCTGAAGTTTCTGAACCATCTACAAAGAAAACTCCAAGTGGAGCACATTACAAAAAATCTAATTGGATGTCACTAGCACATGGATAGCAGCGGCTAGTCATTCAAAAAAGCCAGAAAGAGTGCTGCTGCAGCAGAGGGAATTCAATGGCTCAGTGCTTCTTTTAGGTTCTCCCAGGATAGATTAAGCTCTCTCCTTTTGGCACTCTACTCAAGGAAAGGAAAGGTTCCTTCTCCAATAGGAGCCAAGTTATAATACTGACATTAACCTATGGTTTTTCTGAGTTGATATTTTGACTTAAATTTCTAGAGTTATATGTGAGTATATACAATAATTGTATTTTATTTATTGTATTATTGGTGCTACATACGACGCCTGGACCATGTAAATGGATTATGCAATAGATTATCTCACATAAAGTCAAACCCTGCCTCTTTTGGTTATGGTGCACTTTACACAAAAAATCTGCAATCCCCCCTGGAACATTAAGGGGCAGACAAGCATCTAAATGCCATGTGACTTTTCACTGTGGAATAAAGTTGGAGGAAATTAAGTACAACACAGTGTATCTTCCATCACACCTCTGATGTATAGCAGAAGAAGCAGTGTGGTGGAAAACTATCTTATCCACCCATTTCATTTTGTACATAATTGTCAAAGCTTTGTAGAATGGAAGGCAACTTTCATACATTTCCTGTCTGCCCACTGAATTTTTGTGTATCTCAATTTTCTTTCAGATTTTTAGAGTATGGGATATCCAGACCCTTTCACTAATGCAGGTCTTCCATGACAGTCAATCAGGGCCCAGAGAGGCACAGATCTTTGCCATGTTATTTGATAATAACCATGGTACACTGATTACAGGTATATCTTACTGATTGTTCTGTGAATACTAGATAAACCAGTATGCTTGTACCTGATGGAAGAAAATATATTAGTATCTTCAAGTGATATTGTGTGTGGATGAAATAGTTTATAGCCATAGAGGCAAGATGTAACAACTGCTTTTTCTCAAACTGCAATTAAGGACAATAAATATAAGAGGGATATATAGTATAATTTGGGTGTTGAACTACAACTCCCATCAGCCAAGTATAGTCAATGATGAGGAATGCTAGGCAATACAGTCCAACATCCTCTAAAGGATAGCATTTTGTCATCCTCTGTACCAGTGGTTTAAACATGTATCTGCTTGGTTCCCATATTTAGTGCATGAGAACAATGGTCAGGTGTTATCACAGCTCCCTGCAGCATGTTTTTTTCTTGACATCAATGCATTTTCTATTTATTAAGGAAAGCGGACATTCACTGATAATATCTAATGTTTGTTCCCTTCTGTTGCAAAAATCTGATGGACCTTGATTCAGCACAAGACAAATGTCATTTGTTGTATCCTCTCTGTTTTTATGAAAAGGGAATATTTAGATATTATTTCTCAGCAGACATTCATCAGTGGTGATGTTCAGACATTGCTACACAGCTATGTTGTGTATTACTGAAACCTGGCTTGTGATGGATATTGCAATTTCTGGTGGCAGGCCAGAAACCACAATCTGAACCCAGGGTTCGTTGCTGGATTATGAACTCTTATGGCTTGTCATAAATGTTCAAAGATAGAACAATGGCTGGTACCTAGTTTGCTTTCCCCATTTACCCCTGTTAAAAAAACCCCATAGCTACACAGCTATGTTGTGTATTACTGAAACCTGGCTTGTGATGGATATTGCTATTTCTGGTGGCAGATCAGAAACCACAGGACAAAACAGAAACACATTATAAAACACATTTGAAGACCTATCTCTTCTGGCAGGCTTACCCAGCCACTTTAAATCACAAATTTTAAACTTGCGTCTTATGATCTTAGTTCTGTGTATTTCAACATGTATTTTGTAGAAATATGTGCATTTTATAGAATGTTTTAGATGATTGTGTGATTTTATAGTAATGTTGTAACCCACCACAAGCCACAAGGAGAGGCTGGTAATATCATCATCATTGCTAAACAAACCAGAAATGGAGGAAATAAGCCATAATTTGGTTATCTGCGATGCAATCTATGGTTTAAGTGATAATACACAGGCACCATAAACCATGACAACTGTGACAAGCAAATGTGCCCACGACATTTTATGTGAATTAACTACAGCCCACAGCCTTGCAACTTGGCAGAGATTCATTGGTGTATTCAGTGGCAAATTGCTGGCATGCGTGTTGCTGTATTTCTATTTTATTTATTTGATGGTGTCCAAAAGATGTATGGGTGCATGTATGTATGTGTGTGTGTGTGCATTCATACACATAATTTATTTTTATATATATTTAGGCGATCTCTCGTTGTCCAAGTATGATGGCCTTCCAATTTCTTGGAAGATGCCTGTGTGTGAGTTTTTGTAATGTGTGGAGGTTGGTGCACAGCCGATCAACACAGTTTTCACAGAGTGAGGGTCCCAACCAATGTCATGGTTAACATGACGATGGTGTCTTCTCAAACTGTTGCAGCCGTCTTAGAATCATAGAATCATAGTGTTGGAAGAGACCTCATGGGCCATCCAGTCCAACCCCCTGCCAAGAAGCAGGAAAATTGCATTCAAAGCACCCCCCGACAGATGGCCATCCAGCCTCTGTTTAAAAGCTTCCAAAGGAACCTCCACCACACTCCGGGGCCAAGAGTTCCATGGCTGAACAGCTCTCACAGTCAGGAAGTTCTTCCTAATGTTCAGATGGAATCTCCTTTCTTGTAGTTTGAAGCCATTGTTCCGCGTCCTAGTCTACGGGGCAGCAGAAAACATGCTTGCTCCCTCCTCCCTATGACTTCCTCTCACATATTTATACATGGCTATCATGTCTCTTCTCAGCCTTCTCTTCTTCAGGCTAAACATGCCCAGCTCTTTAAGCTGCTCCTCATAGGGCTTGTTATCCAGACCCCTGATTCTTCCGCCTTCACAATTATAACATGTACTATGTTATCTTCTACCTGATCTGCGATTATGGATCTCATACACATATGAGAAAAAAGAGTATATGCATGTAAAAGATAATATTAGTTGCAAGACTGTGTTAATCTTACTTGAAAATGTAAGAAAAACAATATTAATGTTTAAGTTTCTCTTTTAACATTCTATATTTAATTTGTTAAATTTTTTTAAAAAGAGATTAGTACTTCAGATAAGTGCATAAGACAAAGATAACCTGTTTTGTTGGACACAGTAGTGCTCCGCAGTGTGCCAGTCATACCAGTGTTGTTTATCCTGTGATCAGCTAGTTGTAATAGGAATCTGCAGCTACTACATCATGTATGAGTCCTAAATGGATTAACTCAGCCAAGTAATTCTGAAATCCTTCAATAGGAAATGCCTTTAGATACTCATTTGGATTTCGGTTTGATCTTCAGCATTCCAAACAAGCTCTGCTTATTTTAGAGAGAAAGTAATACTTTGTACCAACATCACTAAAACAAATCTTTTGTTATTAATATAAATTGATGAGATATACATTGTTTTCTAGCAACATTCAGTGTTAGTCTTAAAGCATTCTATACTTAATGTTATGATTTGGTTGCATGTTTTCCAGGATGGCTGATGGAGTGCATGTTAATAAACTATAAACAACTGTGTGTATTTTACAATTCACAGGGTCGGCTGTCATTGATGTCTATCCTCTGACCCGGATGATACAAGACACCAAACAGGTCCCACAGACACATGAACGGAACATCAATGTACTACTTTACAACAAAGCTTTTCACCAAGTCCTTACTATCTGTTCTGAGTCTGTAGTAAGGGTGAGTACATACCTTGTTCATTTGTTCAGTCTTTTCCGACTCTTCGTGATCTCATCTACGCCAGATCTCCCTGTCGGCCGTCACCGCCCCCAGCTCCTTCAGAGTCAAGCCAGTCACTTCAAGGATGTCATCCATCCATCTTGTCCTTGCTCGGCCCCTCTTCCTTTTTCCTTCCTTTCCCCCCAGCATAATTGTCTTCTCTAAGCTGTGATTAGAAGGCTCTTCAGCTCCTCCTCACTTTCAGCCATTAAAGTGGTGTCATCTGCATATCTAAGGTTGTTAATATTTCTTCCAGCAATTTTCACCCCAGCCTTGCATTCGTCAAGCCCTGCACATCGCATGATGTGTTCTGCATACAAGTTGAATAGGTTGGGGGACAGTAAACAACCCTGCCATACACCCTTCCCAATCTTGAACCAGTCTGTTGTTCCATGGTCAGTTCTTACGGTTGCTACTTGATCCTTATAGATTCCTCAGGAGAGAAACAAGATGATTTGGTATGCCCATACCACCAAGAACTTGCCACAATTTATTATGATCCACACAGTCAAAGGCTTTAGAATAGTCAATAAAACATAAACAGATGTTTTTCTGAAACTCTTTGACTTTCTCCATTATCCAGCAGATATTGGCAATTTGGTCTCTTGTTCCTCTGCCTTTTCTAAACCCAGCTTGTACATCTGGCAATTCTCGCTCCATGTATTACTGGAGTCTTCCTTGCAGGATCTTGAGCATTACCTTACTAGCATGAGAAATAAGGACCACAGTACAAAAGTTTGAGCAGTCTTTAACATTTCCCCTTATTAAGCATTCTTTAGAACAGGCTTGAGAAATATAACAGTTCTTTATTAATGAACAAACAGAAATTGTAAGCTTTCTTGACAGACTATTAGCTCTTACAATCTTGTTTACAGGAAACAGCCACTATCTTCAAAAACTTTGCTCAAAGGAAAATTCCCCTTTTTAGCTCCTCCCAGGCTCCTGTGAACCTAAACCTGACTTGAGTCCACTACCGGCTGAACTGTGTCTCAGAACCTAGCAGACTTGCCAACAGGCCTGTAATCACTTAGCTGGAGATGAGCAGAGCTGTTATTCCCTCCAGAAGTCCTCAGGGCTGTAAAGCTGTTTCCCTGGAACCTTTTGGGAATCTGTAGAGGCTSTTRAAACTGTTCTCCCCCRGGAAGTCTTAAGAGACGAAGCCTTTGCACAGGAGGAYGTTTGTGTACATCCTCTGCATTGACTTCCTTTTTGAGACTAACTGARAAATGGCCCYTTCCCTCSAAAAAAACCCAGAGAGGGGCAGGACCAGGGAACCTAACTGTTATTGACAGGTGGCTTGTCCTATGAATGCAAATTATAACAGGAAGCCACCCTGCTGCAAAATCCCCGCAACTTAGGACAATGAACAAACACTCAGTGTGGCACAAAATTGGAGCCCCTGGAACAGCCGTTCCAGAACAGAAACCAAAAGGGAAGGTTAAGAATTCAATACTRTTTTTTATTTGGATCTAATTGTCTCCCCTTTTACTTCAATAGTTTGGGTATTTACTGAAAGTAACAGCTAGATATAGATATAGATTGATCTGAATATATAATGTTCTTTATTTTTAGGTATGGGAATTGGAAACAGGGCAGTTGATATACCAGATTGAGGATGCTCATGGGTCTAATGTTGAAGTTACATGTGCAGCAATTGATAACAATGGGTTTCACCTTGCCACAGGAGCATGTGATGGTAAATAATGAAATATAATTTGTATGTAACAATGTAAGAATTAACTTTTGTGACAAGAATTGTGATGTTGCAAATAACTTCATGAATAAATAATTAGATTTACCTTCAAGATTGTGACTTTACAATTAAGACTAGCTGATGCCTATTTTGTATGTATAAGATTATTGGCTGCTCTCAAAAACTACTTTAGTGGGATACAGGATGCAACATTTTAAAACGGATTTCACCTATGTGAAACCAGTTTAAACATGATACATCCTGTATCCCACTGCTTTGTCATGGAGAGTACCTGTGCCAAAACCAATGGTTCACAGTATTGTCAGCACTGGATTTTTTTTTATCGTGTCAGAAGCAAATTGAGAGACAGACTGACTCTGTTTATTATTGCAAGCTTGTAAATTTGGCTACCATTAAATTCATCTGCTGGGACAAGTAATTTCTGGTGTAAGAAACTTGGCCATCTGCAAGGACATTGCCCAGGGGAAGCCTGGATGTGTTACCATCCTGTGGGAGGCTTCTCTCATGTCCCTGCACAGGAAGCTGGGGCTGACAGATGGGAGCTCACCCCATCTCATGGATTCAAACAACCAACCATCAGATCATCAAGTCAGCGGTTCAGCCAGCACAAGGAGCCACCACTGCAGCTCCTATGAATACAAGAGGTGGTAGTGGATAATGATGGAACCTGCATTATGTAGGGTATAGTCATATCAGATACATTTCTCTGATAATGTCAAAGAGTTGTTGAAGTGCTAGTAAACTTGAGCACTATTGTCTCTTCTTATACTGGCAAGTGCGTTTCTGAAATCAAGGGACATCAGTTAGGAGGCTAGGTTGATCACATCAACTCTGATGTAATATCAGAATAATGTTCGTGTAACATGATTTCACACAAATGTAACCCATGTAAAACTCAGGTTTGGCCTTCACAGAAAAATAAACAAGTGGGTAAACTATCTGGTTTCTTCAATTTTATTTCACACAATTAAATATTCATGCTCCAACATCCTTGCACAGAGATAGTATCAGGGGAAAACATTCTAAACTCTCTTGTGCCTGATGGACAGACTGAAGAAGATCAGGGAGACAATAAGACCAAATCAAATCTCCCAGCATTTCACTGATGTTATTTTTAAATATTTCTGATTTGATTTATGGATTTATTATTATGCTAGGCATATTTTAAAAGACATATTATGGAAATACTTCTCATAGACACATTATGAATAACACTCCCGTGGGGTAAATTGAACTGGTAGTGAAAAAAAGTGGCTCAATGCTTTTTCTCCTAGACTGCCATCTAAATCTTAATCGCTGCACAGGTCAGCTATTGTCTTTGCACTGCTGGAGAAAACTTTTTTGAGACTTGCCTCACCCTATCTCTGCTTAATTTTTAGTATCTTTTGGGGTGATGCTTGGATATTGTTACTTTTATTGGTTCTGAAGTTGATTTCATTTAGAACATTTAGTAGGGCTTTATAGTAAAGGCAGTCTACAATTTTAAAAGACAAATAAATTACAAATTAACCTGTGCTTCCATTCCAGGCATGATTCCAAGGCATTGATACATAAAGCATTCCTAATATTATCTTACCTGAAATACTTGCATGGTTGTGATTACCATGAAAATGGCTGCCTTCTTTTTTCTTCCATTTATCTTTCCCTTTTTCTTTTTCTTTCTCTCTCTCTCTCCCCCTTTACTCCACCCCCTTTTTTGTTTGTTTTAGGGACTGTCAAAACATGGGATTTTGGAAGTGGACAGGAACTTAAAGGTTTGCCTCTAGGCAAGGAAATCAATGATAATGAACATTGGCTGTTGCAGATGGTTTACCTGAATGCTAGCGAGAGTAGACATGTGATCCTGGCCTTGGAGTACAGCGGATTGATCAAAATTATTCAGGTTTTGTTAACAGTTTTTTTAAAAACTCTATGTTGGCTTGTGTTAAATATGCCATTTTCAAGTTTGAAAATCAGTTTTTCTGGAGGCTAGACTTGCCAGCAGTAAAGATATGAAAATATTTTTATTTATCTAGCTCTATACCTGAATTCTCAATATCATAAATATACAATACAATTTTATGCATGTTCATTTACAAATAAATCCCAGTGTATTTACGTAATGAGATTAACTATGAAAGAAGTCTGCTTACAGTCTGCACTTTTAATGACCAGTCAGCAACTGTATTATCCATTTGTCAAAGGTTTATACCTTTTTCTCTTGTTCTTCATAAATTAAAACTAGAATCTTCCCAATATGTATCTATCAGTTCACAATGCTGCTAAAGTTAGGGTGGGCAAAGGATAGGTCTCCCAGACGCTTTAACCAGCGCTGGAAATGGTGAGGAATGCAGAGTGCCGCAATGCAACATCTGCACAAGAGGTTCCCAAGTTTATTTAGCCTACCACTTCTTTTTCAGAAAAATAAAAACCTTACTTCTTTAAGTGAAAAAACAGAAAGATGCAGCGACAACTTTGGAGTCTTTTATGTATCTATATTTATAGAACATGGTAAAGAATGTGATGTCCAGTAAACTCAGAATGAATGTCTAGAATTAGTAATCAGTTGGACAGCTGAGATGCTCCTTCCATAAAAAATAAATTCTACCAAGTTAATTGTAAAATATATAGATGGACAATTATTCTTCAAATCTTTCTTTTGTAGGCTAATGAAGGTGAGCCTTTCTTCTCTATTACCTGGAATCTTCCTGATGCTGTTTCAGTTGCACTACAAGGCAATTCATTGATTTCCCTCAAATTGAGTCCCAATCCCAAGAAAATTAATGGATTTTTCCCAGATATCGAACTGTTGCCTAATAAGGGTCCTGAAAAATCAAATACAGAGGTGAGAAACCATACCAATTCCAGAGTTTTAAACATCCTCAAAATTGAACCTTTGTCAATTCTGAGTTCTGATTAAGTGTCTTAGAATCTGTCAGTGGATTCCCAATTGAAAGCTAATGATTCCGAAAACACTCACCTGAAGAGGAAACATGTTAAGACGTTCCCCAGTGAAAGAGAAAGAAAACTTGGAGGGCGTTTGTAGAGTCTCTGGCTGCTCTTCTTCACTGGTGATATAGAGGCTATGTTTCATGAAAGCTCAAGATATCACAAATGCATTAAGTCCTTAAGATTTCAGCAGACTCCATGTTGTTTTAACCATTCACTGTTTCTGCTCTTCCTCTTCCAACCATCTAGAGCAGGCATCCTCAAACTGTGACCCTCCAACTGTTTGGGCCTTCAGCTCCCAGAATTCCTGATCATTGAACAAGCTCATTAGGGCTTCTGGGAGTTAGAAGCCCAAACAGCTGGAGGGCCACAGTTTGGGGATGCCGGATGTAGAGCAGTGGTTCTCAACCTGTGGGTCCCCAGATGTTTTGGCCTTCAACTCCCAGAAATCCTAACAGCTGGTAAACTGGCTGATTTCTAGGAGTTGTAGGCCAAAACACCTGGGGAGTTGTAGGCCAAAGCATCATAGGTTGAGAACCACTGATCTAGAGGCTATTAACTGCTACGGAGGGATAAGATAAAAGATACATATAATAATATATTTATTAGGTCTAGACAATCACCCAAAGGTTATCTCTGCCTCCCAGGATCTTGCTAACAGGTATAATATGTAGACAGGTGCTTTTATAAATTAAAAAATGCATTTTAAATGAACCAAATATTTCACTCTGGTTTAATCTTCTTATACCCTTGTTTCTTCATAGGTTATATCAGTGCTTAAAGCTATCATAATTATACAGTTCTGTGTTTGAAATAATTTAAAAAGCCAAGGAGGATAATTTTTGCATCTTAAATCGAGTCTGTGGGAAGACTGTACTTTTCAGAATTGAGTTCTTTTCACATCAATAATTATATAGTAGTAATATACTGTGTAATTATATACTAGATAATTAACAAGATTGGTACAGCAATCCTCGAAGCTACACATTTTACCTACTGCCTTTTCATGAATTACTCTTGATCCTCTTTTACATATCTTTTCAGATACCTCAGGGGACGGAAGTCAAATGCTTTGATTTGCTAAGAGTAGAAGGTTATAATTTGTTAGCTACTGCAAGTCCAAATGGTAGTATCATCATGTGGGATTTTGAATCTGCCACTGCCAGACACATGTAAGTAAGAAACGACAAAAATGGGCAGAAGCCCATTCTCCCTCCTTCCAAGAAAAAACACCATCTGTTAATACAGTTCTATTGGACTCTTATTGCCAAGGAAAATGGGATCAGAATTAGCATTTCAAGACCAAGGGTGCAGATCTGGTCCTTGAGAGCACCTCACTAAACATTGTTCCCAATTTTCTCGCAAGCGGAGTGAGTGCCAAACAAAGGACTCTTCAGCTTCCTTCTCCCAGTGTGATCATCAACAGAGATTCTAACTTCAAGATTCTGTTCTTTTTACATCTCACCTTCTCAGAACTGTATATAAACTGAGATACAAACAAAATGAGCTCTTTCCACCTGCCGTATGGGAGGGATGGTGGTTAAAGAGCTCCTCACCAATATCTGGGCCACCATCAAGTATATCATTGAGCAAAACCAATGTATTCTCCTTTTTTGCCTTTATGCCAAAATTTAGAAACTATTAATATGAGTTGCCTACTGTCATACCAACTATTTCTTTCAGTGCTCAACTGCCAATACATTTTACCACAGCAGGAGGAGAAACAGGCAAGAGTCTTTAGCTGGTGCTGTAGCATGAAGCATGAAATGCCTTTCACTTTGGCAGCCTTTCCTAGTTCCGAAGTTCAGAGAGATAATTCCCCAGGGGATATCTCAGGATTTTGCACTTCAAGCAGAAGGCACAACTTTCCCAAACCTGTACCCCATCTAATTTTATATTGAGCTGATTTTCCACAGAACACATACACCACAGCATGCACACACACACACACACACATACAGCATGTATTGCCTCATTGCCCTCTCCTTCAAATGCAAATAATTCCAAAGAGAGGGTGATGCCATTATTTCTCTTCCACTCTTCTTTTAATTTTATTCAAGTTAGAAGTCTCTTGCAAATGCTTAGTTCGATTCTCTCCTACATTAACAGATATAATCACTTTCTCCTTCATTGCATGTACTCTTTGGTTGGAAAAATACAAATCACAAGAGGTAGGCTAATGGGCTCAGCGAGGAAACATCCTCTTTAAAAGCATTTAATTTATTTTCACTTTTTGGTAGAGGAAAGTTGATTGTCTATCCCAGCAGTTAGGCCATGAAACAGCACCTCCCACATAAATGAGGAAGGTATCACTAAGCTTGAAGGAACTTCAAGGTGTGCAGAAAACAAAAATCATTTAGAAATAAATAGCAGTGGGATATAACTAAGTGTTCAGCAATCATGTTCAACAACCATGGAATATTAACTAACTGTTGTGAGGGGAGAACAAAAAAACTAGGGGAGAGTAGAGAGGAAATAGAGCTTTCTGAAAGACAACACAGCATACTCGAGCTCTGAACAAGAGCACTCTGCACAACATTGGTGATACTCTCTGGGAATAACATACTAGCTAGCCATTATGTCTATCATATTTCAGATCTTCCTAGCATTTGGAAATGAGTGCTCAGTCTTTAAGAACCTAAAGTACTATTAGTGTTATAAAGTCTGTATTCATTTGGAAAAATTATTCATTCCCGAGCCTTTTCGCCAGAACCATTCTAAACAGGTTTTCAAAAATGATTTTCAAATGGGTCTATCCCTATATGTCCAAATCCTCTGCAATAGAAATCACTTTTAGCAGGCAAGTAAAAATGGAAAAGGATTCCATGTTAAAACTCTCTTTTATTAAACCAGTTGTATGTTGACATAGACTTCACTGTTGGTAAAGGGACTTGCATGGAGTAGGGTGACATTGAGCTCACCGAAGAGCTACAACATAAGGAACTTAATATGTTGTGAAATATTGAAAAACTGAATTGTTGCAAACCATTACATCATTTAGATGTAATCAATGAATTGCATTTTTGTTTTCAAAAATATGGGTGCAGTCTTCTACTATGAGTTAATCCTATGACAACTTGCAGCCCTTTAGTGAGATCTACATGAACTTACAAGCTGCATGAACTTATGATCATCAGCATCTTTATGATATATCATGAAGAACAACTTCTTATCATTGATTATCTTGGTCCATGACATATGCACTGATTGAAGTAAATTAAGGCAAGTGTATAAAACTGCTTTTTTATTTCTAGATTCAAAACTAGCAATATCACTGAAGGAGAGGAACCTGAATTACGAGGAATCAATAAATTACACTTCCTTTATCGACGTACCATGTCTGATAGGTAAGTAAATTATGTGCTTATACAATATCTATTGAACCTATACCTGATGTAAATTCCAACCAGGACTACTGATTTATTTTTATATTTGAAATATTATAAGAAAGCTGTCGTTCTGACATTAAAACACCCTGTTATTGGAGAGATATTGAAAAATGATGTAGCCTACAAAATTTGAAGTATGCTTCTGGCATATTGGTTCAGTATTATTTGGAATTCCAAAATTGTCAAGATGGCTTTCTGAGATTTCTATGTAAACAAATATTGTACACAAAATTATTTAAAATTATTGCATAAAATTGCCTTCAAGCCTAATGTATGGGTCCCATCTGCAAGATTATTGCTATACTCACCAATTGGCTCAGTGTAGAGTCAGATCAGCTCCACGATGGCCAAAGACTGTATAGAAATTATCCAGGCTAACGTGAGATAAGGCTCCCTTAACAGAGGCTTGTCCCACATTATCCAAAGTCTCAGGAAAGTCTGAACTTTAGGACTGTCAGAACTGTTGGACTGGTTCCAAAATGGAACAGCTACAACTGTTCCCACTGCCAACCTGTGTTTCCCAGGCTCGGGTGTTCTGGGGACACGGGATGTCTATGCCGCCCCATAGATTTTACATGTCAGCCATTACCCACACTGATGCTGACCCAGGGCAACTGGAAGCTTTAGGAGGGGAGTGAGGAGAAGATGAGGGACCCCAAAATATATCCTTATGTACATATTAACAAATGTAATTATTCTAAAATCTGAGGGAAAGCACTTCAAATCCTGGGATTTTGAATAAGCAATGCTCAACCCATATTTGTTAATACTTTGGGCTGTCTGGATTTTGTCTTCCATGCAGGGATCTTAGTCAGTCCAATCTCAGTTCAGATCCTCAAAGCGATGACAGTCGTACTCAAGAAGGAGAAGGCAGTATTGTCAAGCTGGTATGCTTCCTTTCCTTTCCAACATCAAACAATCTACACTAGATTAATATTCTATCCAGGCAATTTAGATGACACACACTTCCTTGACCCATGTACCAAGTTCAGAAACTCCAGTTGGTTCAAATAACGGCAGCCAGGCTAGTTACAGGAACATCCAAGAGTGAGCATAAAATATCCATACTAAAGTCACTCCACTAGTTGCCAATTAGTTTCTGAACAAAGTACAAAGTGTTGGTTTTGACCTTTAAAGCCCCACATAGTTTGGGTCCAGGTTAACTAGAAGATCACCTTCTCCAGTACAATCTGCCCCTTAGAACACTTAGATGTGAGTTTAAAATTCATAGTTAAAACTGACTGGGTAGGCCTGCTGGAAGAGATAGGCCTTCCTAAGTGTTTTAAATTCTGACAGCTCTCTCTCTCTCTCTCTGTGTGTGTGTGTGTGTGTGTAATCTAAATAACAAAGCTTGAAAACATTTCTATTCTAATTAAGGTGTACTAACAGGTTGAATGTAAAGTATATAAATAATACAAAATGATCTTGTTTTTAGTCAACAAATACTGCTGTGGTCATCTTCCTCTGGTTCTTTATAAATTCCGTTTCCATTCTTTTTGAAGTTTTTGTGTATTTGTTTATTGTACAGCTAAAGTTAATTTGACCATTTTGGTCATGACAAATGCATTCAAAATCTTCAACAGTGTAACCATTTTTCCTCCTGAGTGTAAGCAAGCTAATTTCTAAATATTATTTGCTTTTAGGAAAGTGATAAAAGCGAATCTGGTGGTATAGCTGCTTCTTCAGGTATGAACTGAAATATGATAAACTATTTATATGATTGGCTATAGTTTTGAAGACCACATTTTTTTTAAAAAAGCAAATGTTTATCAGAAATCCTAAAAAATGAGTGGTTGGGTCAAATTATCAACTTTAAATTAATATCAGACAACTTTGAAATGGTGCACATTAAAAAAATCAGAATCCCAATTCTTTGTTTGGTTTTTATGGTAATGAGAATCAAGGTGCTTAGAGATTGTTAAAATCTATATGGGAAACCAGAACTAACATATTTTCTTCGTGTAAACACAGTATATTACTCACAAAAAATACTTACCAAATCCAACTCTTTCATGTTCACCATGACTTTAAAATGATGGTAATGTTGAATTACTCAAACATTAAATAAAACGTACATTGATGTTTATTATCCAGTGATTCTTTTCTTCACTATCCTTTCTACCTAATTCTGGAAACAAAATGAACATGAACTAGATTAGACAATAGAATCCCGATATGGTTGATCATCTGGGTAAGGTAGGAGTTTCATTTCAGCTTTGGGCTGAAAGGAGATATTTTCAACTGGACAATTTCATTGATGCTGTGGTGTGACGTGGCCCAAAAGAGAAAGAAGTGTAAACACTATTGGTTAGTTGTGCTTTATTGCAGAACCAAAACTTCCATCTTCTCTTATTGTGGAGAACAAAGAAGTAACACCCAGTTTATTGAGTACTGGAGCTGAAAAATTGGAACGTTTGAACATTCCTGTACTTGCCTCAGCTCATGAAGATGGTTATATCTACCTCTGGACTATAATGGTAAGTTTTTGACTGGCTTGTGGTAGTGAATGATCACTAAGCAGCCTTCCAATTCTGCTGTCAACCAAGGGACTTGTAAAATGAGAAGATCCTTCTACTGTATATTTTTGTGTGTTTTCTTTTTTTCTCCATTTTCCTAGAAACACAAAGAATTACTTCTTTAACAATGTTAAAGAAAAAATCATTTTCTTAAGCAAATTATAGCTCAGAAATCCCATTACCTTTGATGATACAGGACTTTATCGGTGTTGGTAATAAGAATATGAAAAGAGCCATACTGTATCATATCAGATGCCTCTTTAGTCCATCATTCAGTTCATGCAGTGAATAGTCACTTGTATTCAGGAGTGTCCCTATGATACTGAAGGAAATACACAGGCATCATGACCTGGACTATTTCAGTGACTTTATTTGGACTTGACTTCTATGCAAGGACTCTGTTTACGACATCACCCTTACCACTACTTTAGCATTGGGGGTTTACATTATGAAAGCACTTTCTAAATACTGCTTAGAAAAATATGTATATTTAGTTTAGCTGGGACCCAGACTGAATAAAAGGTTTAGATCAGAACTCAGAATTTGGGCCAGATTATTAATGGTTCAAGCAGATTAACTGGTTAAAATCCCTAACTGATGATGAAGTAATCATTGTTTCTTCTTCAGTCTCTTTCTGAATCCCTCCCTCTTTCTATTGCATATTTTGTATGTCATTTGAGTAAGAATGCACAGGGTCAAGCCATTAAACTCAGTGAAATGGTATGGCTGCAAAAGGATATGAATATTTTTGTGCTGCTCTTCATTATTCTTTGCTTTTTATTTATGATTTGGGTTGAAATTTCACCTGCATCTATGGCAGGCATCCTCAGAGGTTGTGAGGAACAAGACCATGCAGCTCTGAAAACACACAACAACCCAATGATTCCAGCCATGAAAGCCTTCGACAATGTATTTATGATTTGTTTATACACTTAATTTTGCTAGTACTGATCCTAGAACAAAAATTATTTTAGAACTGCTCCAGGATCCCAGCAACCTTATTCCAGTTTTCGATAGAATGCAGAAGTCATGCAGTTTAAGAAGTGTTGCTTATGTTCCTACAATAACTGAACTATCTGGGAACATGCTATAGCACAATGAAGTGGTGGTGTTCTTTGTTTGTGAAAGATCCTAGATTCATTCTGTAGCCTCTCCTTTAAAAAAATGAAGGCATGAAGCAGGCTTGGGAACAATCAATACCGAAGTCCCTGGAGAGGGTACTGCAAGCTAAAGGAGACTGCACATTTATATTTTGTACTTGCTAAAAGTGACTGCAGAACACTCTTTGAAATCTGTTTATATATCCAGAACTCTAACTTTTTGGATTTTATGGTAGCTGTTGATGGGAGCATTCTGGGAGCTGTACCAATCTCAGCATATCCATACCCTGAACTGTGTAATTCTATCTATTTATCGATCAATCTATCAATCTATCTATCTATCTATCTATCATCTATCTATCTATCTATCTATCTATCTATCCATCCATCCATCCATCTATCTATCATCTCTCTCTATCTACCTCTTCCAGTTTTATTTACAATATAGGTTGAGAATATCCCTTATTTGAAATTCCTGAGACCAGAAGTCTTTGGGATTTTAGAATTTTTTTGGATTTTGGAATACCTGTGTATTTATCATTATACATAATACAATATCTTAGATATCCCCACTTCCCCACCATTGGACAGATCCGCACATCTCCTTCAGCTTAATGCCTCACTCATTTCCTACTTGTATTGTGTATGAGAAATGAGGCTAGAAAGAAATTGGCACAGTGCCTGACAGAAATCCCCCCCCCCCCACCCCATTTTACAGATTGTCACTTGTCTCTCTCTCTAGCCTCCCTCCTCTCTCCAGGAAGTCCTTCAGCTGCTCATTTTCATCTTAAGAACAAATGAGTGGGAGTGTTTCAATAACCACCACAAAAGTGGAAACAGATGGAAGGTGGCATAAAGTTTCAGATTTTGGAGGACCTCATATTTGGGGTTTCTATATAAGGGAGGCTCAATCTGTATTGCCGTTATCTTAATCTTGATATAATTTTATGGTTGGACCTTTTGTGTTTATAAACAGTATGTGTTTTAAAGACATGGGAATAATAAAATTGTTCAGCTCAGAAAATAATTAGATCTAACAAATCGTGAAATCCTTTTCATATCTATTAGAAGCAGTAGGCATACCTAGGTTTATTCAGAATTAAATCCATGAATGGAATGGGAACGCTGTGGCAGCCTGGGATCCTATTTGTGCCATAGGTTGAACCAACCCAACAAAACAAAGCCAGAAGTAGCCAGAAGCCCATTTCAAAAAAAGAGAAACATCTGGTGTGGTTTAAAAGCCCCAGGGCTTACAAAAACGGAACCACATGGTTCCTTGTCATGCCTTATAAATTCAATTCATTATAACTACTAAAGGATCATGTTACAGCATGTTTGTAGAATTGTATGCAGGCTTGCCTCAGAGTAAACCCTACTAAATTCAATGACAATTATTTCTAAATAAATCTGGAGAAAACTACATTATAACTCAAGGTTCAAACGGATATTTGGAAAGCGTTAAAATCAAGATTGTAGCTGAAAACATGGCATAATGAAGTAGATCAATGTGACTCAAGCAGCCTTCCAAGCATCAAATGTCAGAAAATTCTTCTTTGTTAATAGAAAGTGTAATTATTTTTTCTTTATAAAGGGAGATCTACTGAGAGAAATTTTGCCTTTCACAAAAAATCCTCCAATTCCTTTGACAGCACTGTGCACTGACATCTCTTATAAAATGATTTTTGCTGCAAATAAAGGTAAGCAATCATTTCTCTTTCAAGGCTTTTGGGACAATTGATCAGCTGAATAAATTCAACATTGGGAGCATGTTAAAAACACAATCAGGTAGTTTTCTGTTCAGATGAATGTTTGATTTCAACCGAATAGTCTTCAGAAAGAGGATGCAGAAATGCAGGTGAAATGTTTCACTTTTATGATAAGATTGAGGATTTTTTTCATGATATTTTATGGATTATGTGTTATAAGTTGTTTGAAGATTGTGATGCATGAAATATAAATAGTGTAAAAAAATAGACTAAGAAGCATGGTTCTGGAGGAGAACATAGGGTATGTAGTCCATATTGTGAGTTTCCACAAAAGTAATTGTTTGTTTCTTTGTCTAATTGATTTGTAACCCATTTCATAGGTTCTCTCTGTTCAAGGACTGCTAACTATAAAGGTTTACCTATAAGAAAAGTGAGCTACCGCTTTTGCCAATGGTATAGCTCTTTGGTCTACATCCGATGTCTCCCTCCTTTGTGATTAAAATCAGGAAAATGAATAAGCTAATTAAAGTTCAGACAAGATAGAGAATGTCCCAGCTTGATATTGTGCATCTTCACCAATTTTATTCAAGAAGTAATTAGGTGTACATTTTCCAAGCATAAATGCATCTAATTGCAACCTTATTTAAGACAAAAGTTCTGGAATATGATTCAAAAATTATTTCTTTTTTTGAGTACAGCTCCCAGAAGCCTTTAGGCATCCTGCACAGTTACCGCTGGGGATGAAAGATCAAATATAGAATAGGATACAAAAAGATCAAGACTCCTGCACTTTTAATAAATGATTAGAGGATGAATGAAGAATTGTACCTACTGAAATTTCCTCTTAAAATTTAACATTTCAGTTTAAACTTGGAAAAGCAAATGTTACTTTTTGGATCACAATATCCAGAAGTCCACAGACAGCCTGCACAATTACTGTTGGGAATGAGACAGGATACATAGGACTGAATACATAATAGTACAGGGATCTTGTATCTTTAATAGGTGGCTAGAAAAGGCATGACAAGATATGCCTGCTGAAATGTTCTCTTTTACACGGCCAAGGATTTCATCAATTCCATCAGAAGAGTAGAGACAGTGATTATTTTTGATGCTTTCATAACCCTGAGGGTGTACTTTCATCTCTCATTCATTTGACAATATTTCACTATTGAAAGTTTAAGAAAAAATACACTTGATGATTCTGTGTGTTGTTGAAGGGTTTCATGGCTGGAATCACTGGGTCTCCGTGAGTTTTCCGAGCTGTATGGTCATGCCCATACAGCCCGTAAAACTCACAGCAACCCTTGATGATTCTATTTAGATGTGATAATAATTTCAAAAAACTGAAAAACACAGTGCGTAATGGAAAATACATAAAATGCTACTTCTTGGAAATGAACTAAAATGGTATTGCTACTTTGGGAGCCATGTTTATTTCCCCTGAGTATAATTTTCAATGTACTATCAATACAATTTCAGTAAACACAAACTTAACTAGTACCTTGGACACAGGTTTTTCTCCATTTGATTATTTTAAATGAGAATACTGGTGTTTATCTCATTTGAAAGCAGTGGAAATTTTTCTATTCAAGTTGAAAAGATCCACTTACTACTAAGAGCTTATATTGTAGCAATATGGGTCTAGAGGGGAAAATAAGTACATTGCCATTTGTGAAATGTCACATTATTCCTTTTAGCCCAATATTCTTGCATAGGGAATGTGCTACAAATTACATCTCCTTGAGGCATGATAAAATAGACAGCTATGCTATCCGGTTTATGTATGATTATGTACAGTGGTGGATTGTGGCCCACATATTTGGAGATGTGGGTCCACTCCAGGTATAAATCAGACTTTTCAAGGAAATATCTAAAATTCTAGACTTATTTAGGGAATGAAATTTGGTATATTGGATCAATCATTTCTAGTCAGAACAACCAACAAGATTTGATTTCATTTCATAAAATTTGATTGCTGTTTTCATTGAGCATTTCTCTTACAGAGGGGCATGTTATCCGATGGAGTGTGGGCTCGTTTTTAGAAGATCCGCGAGATGTCAAAAAGGTGAGGAATCTAGAAGGCAGTATATTATTTTAAAATATGTAACATCTACTTAGAAGTCAGCACAGTGGTTTGGATATGACTCTATAGAACAGGGCTTCAAATTTCCACTTGGCTATGGAAACACACTAGATGGCTCTCTGTCACTCTCTGTCAATCTCAGAGGAAGGCATATTCTTCCTGAATAACTCTTGTCAAGAAATCCCTGTGATAAATCTCCCACCAGAGTTGGGAAGTTTAAATTCCAAGAACTGATTGAATGAAAAGTAGCTAGGCACCTTTGGTAGAGTTTCATAGTTCAGTGAGATAGCCCCTCTCACATTCCCATGAAGCATGCCCTAAAGGATGATGGTACAAAGGGAAGCGCCAAACTAACAACTTTAAAAAACCAGGTGTACTCCTAAAAAGAATATGGTGCTTCAGGTGCCCTTGGCCCAAATTCTATATAGTTTTATGGATTGTAATCAGTACTTTCAATTGTGCCCAGATATATGTTAGTAGCAGAATGAAGTTGTGGTCACAATGAAGCCAATGATTCCCTATAACCAGCCCAGTCAATAACCAAGTGCCAATATTGTTCAAAGATATCATGCATCCTCATACATCAGCCTGCAAAGGAGTTGAAAGTGTTACCTTAAGTATTAGACAGAGTGCAGGGTTTAGAAACAGAGATTTAATATTTCACCTTGAACACAAGCTTTGCAGAGATAAGATGATTCACACTAACTGCAACTTTCATTCTTCTCTCCTCCACTCTCGAAGCATGGGGGAGAAGAGGGATTGCCATGTTTAACAAGCTGCAACTTTGCGGAACCAATTTCATGCCCACAATAAGGAAGGACTCATTTACTTGGAGAACTTTGGGGCTACTAGGTCATTTGTTGTATATTGGAACCCCCAGAAACAATGGAATGGCGTGCTCCTTTTTCTTATGTTCATCGTATTTAATAAAACTTTTTACATCAGTGAGTGCTCTATTCGATATTTCACATCTGATTGATGAGTGCAACAGGCCTACCATAAGATAAATGTAGAAGAGCAAAATAGACTTAATGTCCATTTTTGAACTACAGTAGGGCCCCTGTATCCCCGGGAGAGACAATCCAAGGCACTCCATAGATACCTGGAACTACGGATAGTAGTAACCCCAGTATTTTCACTACACTTGAACCAGAAGCATACCATAGAATCACAGTGCAGGATTTTAAAAACAGCTTCTGGGAGGAAATATTTTTTGGAATTAATACTCTGCCAAAAATGGTGGAAATCAACTATATGGATAAGGAGCTTGCACTGTATATTACATTGGCCAGTTCCCAAATCTGAGTTTCTACAAAAAACCAAAACCCAATTCTACCCTAAATGGATATATCAGCCTTTGTTTTATTTAAAGTATTTCTGTGCAGTGCTTCAGTTCAAATTTTCGGTGCAATTTTCAAGAGTCTTGCTGGAATTATTTCATTATTTTGACTGGCTGTTTTATTTGTATTGGGTTAAGTTATATACATAAATGAGGCTTAGCCTGGTACATTTATTCATACCATCTACTTTTGATGTCAATCCTGGATTTCAGAGTTTCTCAACAGCTGTAAGATGCCAAAACTTGATGACATGTCTTTGCCTGATTCTTCCCTCCCTGTTTTCTCAGCGTGTAAAGCAACAAATTTGCTGGCGAGCTCATTCCACCAAAATAGTTGACCTCTTCTACAATGAAGAAAGAAATCTGGTGGTGACTGCTTCTGTAGACTGTTCTGTGAGGTTAGTCATTGTTAGCTGTAAGCATTGACTTGGCATTGGATTTGTTGAATATAATATGCCAGTGTTACTTTTTCTGTTCAACTGAACTCAATTTTAGTTTTGCATAAGGACATGAATCACCTTAATGTGATAGTATGGAAAACTGCAAATGTGGCCATCTCCAGAGGTAAGGATGAACTTGACACAGCACTATCCAAATGCTCCTTCCTACAATGGTGAGCTAGTCCTCCCTTGGGTTCTTGGGAAACTTTTATTGGCTATATTGTATGGTCTTGGCTGCTGCATCCATTGCTTTCAGTGTTCCAATGTATCCAAGGTACAGAATTGAATTCCCAGGCAATTAGCAGGACAGCTATGTGCTCAATGCCACTGTGCTCAATGCTGGAAACAAAAATGGTAGCAGGTCTGACTGTGGCTTCTAAACATGGCAAATATGATGGACAATCTAATTCTTTGAAGAAAAAGCAGTTATGCTAGGGAAACAAAAAGTGGGTGCATAATGCCAGTAAGCTTGTGCACTAGCTCTTAATATTTTGTTGTAAGTTGTGCCTGGTTGTTGTTGTTGTTTTTTGTTTTTTTTGGGGGGGGGGGGGTTGTCATTTTTAAAAAAACCAATAGAACACTAGTATTGGGCACAGCCTGGAGAATGTGTTATTTTGGACTGTATTTCCCAGTATTTCCAACTCAATATGGCCACTGGCCATGATGTTCAGACATTCTGAAAATTGTATTTTCTAAAATTGTTTCCCAGGCTGAGCTTTTTGACCACCAGTTTTTATAACATAATTAGAAGCCTCAACCTTCCTTCTGTTTGAACTTGATGATTTAAAAGTTTATTTCTGTGACTCTTTTCACCCAAAGGCTTTGGCATTCACCCGATGGACATTACTTTGGTTATTTTGGTCAGCGCAGATTGTTTGACATTTCTCAACTTACTGATATAATTTTGCCCTGTGATATAAATGAACTTCCCTTCACAATAAGAGATGGCAGCAAATATATGGAGAAAAAGCAGAAGTATGAATATCCCCTAGTCCTTGACAGGCAAAGGTAAGATTTCACACCTTCTCTTCTTCTACATTAGATTGTAAATCTATTGTTTCTTTGGAAACTGATCTCTAAGGACATACCCCCAGCATGGAAGGCTGCTCTCAATCTGAAATTTACTCACAGATTTCACAAAATCCTCTGGATGATATCTGTACAAAGAGGCAGAGCAACACAACCAATCAGTATTAGAGGTCAGCAATTATCTTTCAATGTAAATCCCTTAATTACCGTTATCAAAAACTGCATGGGCACATTTTGGCTAAAATCTTTTGGGAGTGAATTAATGAGGCTTGTGAAGAAGACCTTCTTTCCTTCTCCCACATAGCTGGAATACTGAAGTGTTTTGTCCTTTGTTACTTTTGCTTGTTTATTGTATTTCTTTTGCATACTTTTCCTCTTTGGTTCAATAATATAATAAGACCCAAATGCATTAATATTGCTATCTACTGGCACTGTTAAAGGGAAAATGGGAACTTTATGGAACTTAGGGCCTCATCACAAAGGTTAGTTGAAGCATCCTGCTTTGCCTGGCATCACGGCAGAAAAAGAGGGGCAGTGGGGCGAATCTGTCGCCCTACATGCAGCTCCCTCTCAGTGATCCTTTCCCCATCACACAGGGGAAGCATCACCCTTCCAGAGAGGACCCATGCTGGCTCCATTGGACACGTTCACCCCAGTTGGGGGCGGGGCCTCCCCAGGAAGTCACACAATGTTGTGTGATGGCCAGCATGGGGCTTCATCCATTAGATGGGGTGAAAGCATCCTAGGATACTAAATTCGCCCCGTCTGATAAGATCGTTAAATAATCATAAATACGCCATATTGTTAGTTGGTAGAAATGCCAAAGAGCAGACAGACCAGGAGGCCATATTCTGTTCCTAAAATCTAACTCCTAAATTGCTCACATTAACTCTTTTTTCCATTAAAAAATCTACTCTCTTATCCCTGTAATAGAGACAGTCATAGATGATATAGTTTGCAGTATGAGATACCAAGGCATCTCATGCCAAGGTAAAAAATACACCACATATTTCACAAAGATCCACTACCACTCATTAAATGCTAAAATATTACCATGTGAAAAAAGCAGTGTTAGCAACATGGTACTGCAAAACAATTTTTTCAGTATTTGCCAGTTCATTGGTGGGTTTACAAATATTACAAGGTATCCGGTAGAGCATGCAACATATCCCGTTATTCCTGCTTTTATTCTACATTGTTCCCATACATTCATTAAAAAGCTCAATTTGGTTGCAGTTGGTTGAACGACTGCTTCCATCATCCATCTTCTCGATTACTGTACCAACTCCCTCCTATTTTATTGGATCACAACTTGAAGGTGAAATTGCCATTGTTTTACCTCTACTCGTCTTAATTTCACCTGCTGTTATAAGCAACAAAAATGGTTCTCTGCTTCTGATGACTCAGCATGGCAATGTCTGAGTCTACAGATGAAATATTTTCACAATAAGAGTCTCAAGGTTGTCCTGCAGTTCCTTTTTGTGAGCAATGCCATGTTAGATTGATTTGGGATGGATGGGTGCCCTTGTGTCCTTGTAAAAACTGAGAAAGGATGTGCATGTAGAAAAAGCACCCAGGTTATTACTTTGACAGCATTGAACAAAAATGAAGTGATGGTGTATGGCACATGTTCTAAAACCCTGTCAAATTTATGTATGAGAGATAATATGTTTCAATAATGGTGTGGGTTATGCTGGCTTGTAAATCCTATCTTGTGGAACACAAGGAAGCTGCTGTTATTTTTAAGATATATAACTGTTGGTATTTCTACAGTCCTTCAATTTAATGACAAAAGAGATAAAATGACAATACTCCTCCCGCATGAATTGTAGATAGCCAAGGTGACATTATTGCATTCTCCTTCACTTACTTCTCATGGGAGAAAATACTTCTATGTCATTTAAAATAAAAACTGCATTTAATAGATATTAATATCATTCAAAACAATTGTATATTATTTTTCATTTATATTACCCTATATACTCATCTAGAAATTTTAGTCAGTAAATCAACCCCAAAAAAACTGGATTTGACTTTTCCACATGTCACTATGAGTACAGTAACTTAACTCTTATCAAAAAGAACCAACTTCTGCTTTGAGTAGAATGACAAAAAACAAGAGCTTAGTAATTCCCAGGAGAAATTCTGTGAGTCCCCCCAGGGGTGAGAAAAGTGATATACAAATACGGCAAATAAATAAATAAATAAAGCACCGACCATCTTTCTCTTCCATTGTAGTGCCTCTTCTGGCCTTTTTTAATGTTTGGGTGAGGAAATAGCAGTGGAAGAATTCAAGGTTTTTTTCTTTCTGTAGAATGACCGTTGACCTATCCATGGGTAATTTTTAAATATATATCCCACCCCCCACCCCCCCGCAAGCTAACCCTGAACTAAAAAGTGAGGTTTATTTGAATATAGATGTTAATTATGGCACTGAAATTTTTACTTGCTTTTGTCACTTGACCCGTGTTTCTTTTTTTTAACAGGTGGAAGACTCTAACCAGAAGTTCTTTATCCTTGAAAAAACCTGGTCCATCAGAAATTGAATATGATTTCAAATTTTTCAAAGCCTTAGCTTCTCCAAAGGTACTAAGATTCACTTGCTACTTTATATCCCTTGTATTTCACACTGCTAAAATACTTGTGTATTTTTTGAAAGACAATACAGCTCAACTGGATATATTTTTTTTTAAAATCATGACATTACTCCCCATATGTCGGTGGAAGTTTATGCTCATATAGCCACAAGAGGATTTCCCAGAAATGTTCATACGAGAGCTAAATTAATAGGTTAAGCACTGAAAAACTGGGAGGGGCTGATAGTTCCTTTTCTGGAGCTCAAAAGATGTTGACAATATTATTTTTGTTTCACAGATTAACAAACAGCCTCTGGAAAGTTTCAAATCTGGAAACAAAGATGCCGGTATTGTATTTGGCTCTATACCTATATATAGGGTGAGTTCAGGGTTACCTGATACATTGGAAGTTTCATAAAGAAAGAAGCACTAAAATTAAGCAATTAAAAAAGCCAAATTGTGAATTGCTACCATGTACTCAATTTTAATTTAATCTAATTTAACTTTTAAAGAAAATGTATCGGAATTCCTTGTACACTGGTTTCCATCCTTTAATCTGAATCTTCTGGTATGATTCATTTAAGATCACATTAATCTTACAGCTAGTAACCTGTGATTTGTGATGAGGTATTAAATGTGGACCATAAAGTATCTACATCCAGTACATTAATGTCGAACTAGATTGACTGTAGAAAAAAATAACTGAGCTGAATTTAAACCACAATGCAACACATCTTCATTCAAAGGCCTTGCTAGTAGATGAATAAAAATAATTATTATTATTTAATAATTATTATATAATAATAATTATTATATAATAACCTGATGAACCAACCTGGACATAGCATTTTATTTGAGAACACAAAAATGCTGGACCACTCTCACAACCACCATGTCAGACTACACAGAGAAGCCATTGAAATCCACAAACATGTGGACAATTTCAACAGAAAGAAAGAAACCATGAAAATGAACAAAATCTGGCTACCAGTATTAAAAAATTCTAAAATTGCAACAGCAAAAACAGCAGAGAGAAAAACAGGCAGGGACATCTAATCACCTTTCAAGAAGAGTTTGCTCCAGGCACAGTCAGCCCATTGTATGCTAATCAAGGTGGTCAGTTGAAAGATTCACACCTAGCCCAACTTACAAAAGCCCTTTGTCTCACCCTGGTCATTCCACAGATATATAAACCCTTTTTTCCCAGTTCCAGCAGACCTCACCTCTGAGGATGCTTGCCATAGATGCAGGCGAAACGTCAGGAGAAATGCCTCTAGAACATGGCCATATAGCCCGAAAAAAACCCACAAGAACTGAATAATAATTATTATTTATTTATTTATATACCGCCCTATTTCCCCAAAGGGACTCAGGCAGTTTACAACAAAGTAACAGAGTGGCTTCAATGCCAAAGTGAACAAAGAACAAATCCACTGGAGCCACAGCGGACTGGTGGAAGGGCGATGACAAGAACCTCCCGGGGCTGTCATGGAAGAGGGAGGTGATGTGACCCTCCTGAGCCTGGCTTCGATTAGGGCGATGACAAGGCCCTCCTGGGCCCAGCTTGGAAGAGGGAAATGAGGAGAGCCTCCTGGGTCCGGCTTGGAAGAGGAAGATGACAAGATCCTCCTGGGCCTGGCTTGGAAGAGGGCGATGACGGCTCTTAATACAGCTTATTCTTGGGAAAGTTTGCATTACATCCTTAAGGTCTGATTCTCTAAAGAGATGACAAGCCCTACTGAATCTCTAGTAATGTTTTGTAGCACTGAATTGTTAGTGCCAAGTTTGATTCTTTTATGAACATATCAAACTTTAGTTTGCCCTACCTTAAGTGAATTAGTCTCCCCTTATATTTGTGATGCTTTCCCCATGCATGCCTCCAGTAGATATTTCTGCATTATGGCATCTCCTTGTTGTATGTTTGGAGACTGGGCTGTGAATAAGGGAGTCCCTCCTTCCAACTTCACCTTAGCAAATGCCTCAATCCTTCAGCTGCAACCTTCAATCTGAAACATGAGAATAAGAAGGCCAGGTGAACACAAGAAATTGGAGCTCAAAAAGAAATCTGTGTCATGGAAAGGGGAGGAAGAGGGGCAGGCAATACCCACCACACTATTCTGGTTCATTTTCCAGTCTTCTAAAGCAGATATTTAGGGAGTGTTGAGAAAAATTTAGAGCAGAGCTTTCCAAACATGTCATGATGGTGATACAGTTTTGAGACATGCATCATTTCGCAACACAGTAATCCAGTTTTACTAGCAAACCGGAAGTTAAACTAACTCCTTATAAGAGATACAGATCCACACATAATTTGTACTAACAAAATATATAGGGACACATCTCTCATAAAAACCTTTCATTTCTATTTTTTAAAATATATGATTTTAAAGATAATATACATTTCCAATATTTTCTCATTTGTTAGTGGCAATATGTAAAAATATACAAGCATTCAAACAAAACTGTATAGCACTATAATAAAATAACTACTTCCTTTCTTTATCCTCCTTTCTTTTTTCTTCCCTCTCTGTCTCCTCCCTGATTTGTCTTTCTTTTTTGTTTCATAATTTCCTTCCCTTCTTTTTCTGCCCTCCCTCTTCCCTTTCTTTCTTTCTTTCCTTTCTTACTTTCATTCCCTCCTTCTTCTGCCTTCCTGCCTGCCTTCTTTCCTTACTTCCCCCTTTCCCTAGTGGTAGGCAGGTGGTGGGCGGAATCAACTTATTCTAGGCTACAGTGATGCTGACAAAGGTCTCTTCCTTGCTTTCCTACCATTTTCTACCAGGGAGTCCTCCTATGCCTCAAGCAAGGCCTAGAAAGAAGCTCAGACCACCCACCTCAGCCACACGATCACAGGGTTCATTCCACCTCTGAGCAATCTAGTCCTCAAACAACACATGCCTGAAAGAGGGCCATGACGTCTAGCAGCAACTAATCCTCTTTGTTCCCTCAGCCACTCCCTTAGTTTTGTCCCTGAATGGTGCTTTCTTCATTCTTTCCCTTGGGTCTGGCTTCAAAATGGAGTTGATTTTGTAGTTGTACGTCTGCAATTATTTGAAGTTGGGTAATCATGGGTATGTGTGCCGAATTTGATCCAGATCTGGAAAGCCATATATATGTGCCAAGTTTGAGCTAGATCCATCAAGCCTTCGTGGCACAAATCAATCAACCAACATACATACTTTGACATGTATATACCGATAGATGATTACAATACAGCATTTTAATTATCAGAGTCAGAATCCACCTGATAAGCACTTTCTAGGAACAACAGCAGGACAGCAGAGTTGCACTAATGTAGTTTGTGAGCTACCTAGTGTGGGAACAAAATGCTAGAATAAATAGTCCTTTTATTTGACCCAGAATGGTTCTTATGAGACTTTTATATGCCATTATCCCAATACATTTTCTCTACACAATTTATGGCATTTGACATTCTTTCCATTTCTAGTTTATTGGTCCAAGAAAATTGTGTTACACTTTCCATCAAAGAAACTATAAAACCTTCAAGGTTTTTGCTTCTGTTATTCCCCACTGTGCCCTTTGAAATCACCAATATCTCAGTTAATGTCGGGGGAAGCTTTAAATGAGTGTAAATTGAGACAGCATCACATTTCAGCTATTTTAGTTAGGTATCAAAATGGGTAAGTTCTGGTTCATTAAAACCTGCTTCTTGATGACATAAACCTCACAACCTTAAGATGTTTTTGAATTTAAAATGCATTTATGTTTTTGGTACCATTATGGTCTCTCCGTTCTGTGAGGAGTGGTTATCAAGGTTTAATTTCCTTTGGAAGGCACTCTGCATTCTGCTTCCAAAATATTGCTCACCATTACAAGTCATAATGTTTTTCCTTCTATCAAGTTAACAAGTGATATGAATGTTGATCAGAAAATTAGTGTTAAATACTGGTCTCTCTCTCTCTCTCTCTTTATATATATATATATATATATATATATATATATATATATATATATATATATATTCACAGGGCCTCTATGCTTGTGGGCCAATAGCCATCATATCCCTGTGTTAAGATGGCACTGCAAACAGACAGACTGAAAATAAGAGACACTTATAAGTGCTCATGCTATTGCTTTAAAGGCGCTCAAGACTTGGCTGTTTGGTTGTGCATTTAAGTAACCGGATCAAATTTTGCCATAGTCACTGCTGAATGTTTTTATGTTGAATGTTTTATGTTCAATGTTTTTATCTTGAATGTTTTTATCTTGAATGTTTTTATATTGAATGTTTTATATTGTGTATAAACTGTTTTAAATTGTAAGTCGCTCGGAGCATCTTGGTGGAGAGCGACTAATTAAGAAATAAAGTGATGATGATGATGATGATGAAAGTTCATGTTATAGCTCATGCTATAACACTGGCCAACACACATTTTGGTGCCTCGAATGCTAGCCGTTTCTGGATATATTCTGCCTGCTGATTCCAAAATTGGCACCAGCTTTCCCCTAGCAGCTCAAGTTTTTGAGACTCAGAACATAAGCCATCTACCACTTGCCATCTACTCGTCCATAGATAATCATGACAACCATATCTAAGAAACTTTTTTGATAGGCGGTGTAATCAATCTGTTGGCCTTAAAAGTACCACTCAGCTCTTTGATATTTTACTGCAAAATGCTATTATAGATACTGATACTGCAGAGAATAAGAGAACCATTAAAATGATAGCAACTAAGAGAAATTTAACATGAACAAATATGATTTTAAGGAAAAGAGAATCGAGGTCACACACACATGGTGTTGGATAATTGGTTTGGACAGCTACCCTCTTGAGGAAGATTTAGATAGCATGAATAGTGGAAGATGAGTCACGATATCCATGTGGTTACACAACATTTAGGTCAAAATAACATTGCTTCCAGTCCCTCAGAAATAATCAATGTCTCTCTCTCTTCAACATAGTTTTCATTTGGAATAGCATTTTTGCTTGAACATGTTATTCTGTGTGCAAAAATTAAATTCTTCACAAAGAGACTCAAGGCAAAAAGAAATGTAGCCTATAGAAAAGAACCTGAAATCTGAAGCTCACTCAGAATCAAGGATGAAGAAAATTCATTTGATTCACATTGTAATATACAGTTATCCTTCAATTTTCAGACTTCTGTGATTCTGTTCTCCAATTAAAATGCAAATAGAAAAAATGATATATAAAATGCATACATACAGAATGTATGCAAAAGGTATATATTGAGAGGAGTGCTGGTCAAAATTATAAATGAACTTGAATGTATACAAGAAGGCATATTTTGTGCAGCATTTAAAATATGTAGATTTTTCTTAACAAACTGTAAAACTGATGTAGAAATAACACATAGTAAATATGAACATTAGACATAGCGTCACTCATCTATAATTAAAATCTTTTTAGATATATTAGTTCAGAAGAAACTATAAATTTAGTGTTGCTTATTCCCAGGTAAGAGGGTAGAGCTGAAGGTGGGAAATCTAACTATATACATGTTCTCTCAGAACTCCAACTCCTAGATGTAGTATTGAAAAAAAGTTCCAAAATTAGAATTACCTTTGAGGAAAAAGCATAGGAATTTGAGTTGCACATAAGAAGAGTAATTCATGTTCAGAAACAAAAAGAGAAAGGGAATGAGCAATTACATATCCAATCCTGCAATGGGAAACTGCAGAAGGATGCATAACCAAAATTAGCTGCTGCTCCATATTGTATAGAATGAAAGCAGAAATTACTTTCAATTTGTCCTAACAGAGAAAGAAGAGATGCCGCATAAGTAATAGGTAATAATTAGCAGCCAAGTCAAGAAGTCAAGAAGTCAAGGAATCACAGTAGCTAGAAAAACTAAGACTGGCAGAGGGACGTGCAAAAGAGTAATTATCAAGATCTAGTTGCAAGTGTCCAGAAACCAGGCTAGGGTTTCTGAGCTGCAATGGGTGATAGACATTGCTGTTTGCATCTGAGGAGTGTTTGCTGCTTCCTTTACATAGGCAGGCTGAGTGTAAAGTGAGAACGGCTAGGGCAGCTTCAACTGAGCTGCAGGCATGCATAGTCCTACTCCAAATACTCTTGCATTTGTGCTACTCCAAAGGGAGGCACAACTATTTCAGTTTTCAGCATTTATATGTATATAAAAGAGGACAGTCCCCACAGTACAATAGTACAATAATTGTCTCAAAAGAAAATGGAAACTAATTATGGTAAACTGTATGCTATAGAAATGCTTTCTGTATGGGAGTAATGAAGTGTTTCATGAACCAAAATAATCACATCCTACAAAATTATTCAATCAGAAAAACTAATCTGCTTCGGGTAATGATAAATAGTTTTCAGATTGTTTTAGAATAATACTTGAAAATGCTTTTTATTGTGCATTGCTGGAGTCAGCAGAAAAAAACACAACATAAACAAAGAAAAAAGAGTGGACAATATAGTAATCTGATACTAATAGGGTAACATTTGTGAATAGTTACACATGTGGTTACTAGACAGAAGTCTTTATATACTATAACTGATTCCTTACTTTTCACATTCCCTTTTCTATACAGCCTGATAATTAAGAAAGCTATTTATAAGCAGGATCTGAACAAGTTCATGTATGGGTTTTCCAATGGTGAAATAGTCCATCCTCCATAACTGAATCGAGTATTGATTGAGGATTTCAAAGTTAGACATGCTCAGATTATCTATTAACATTTCTTTCCCCTGCAATGTAAGAGGCCATTAAAAGTAGCCATTGATGCAAACAACAGAGCCACAGTTCCCTTGTGAGAGACAAGACAACCAGCAAGGAAAATAACATATTGCTTGTTAAAATACTACAATACAGTGGTGCTGTGTGGTGTAACATCACAAAATATCAGGAAGCAGCAGAAAACACTGATCACCATTAGTGTTGCAACATGTCAATATGGAGGGACTACCTGGTTAATAGCCATTGATCCTTGTTCTGGAATGTCATCCTATAGAATGGAAATCCCATAGTTGGCCTGCACAACCATTGAGAAGCACTCAGAGCAATGAAGGTGTTTACATTAGTACAAAACAGAGTAAAATCCACTGTCCTCTTTGAGGATGACAAAGTATCTTCAACCTGATCTTTCTCTGATGGGAGGGAGACAGTCTTGTTGTTTTTGTGGTGCAAATTCCACTGTCCTATTTGAGCATGGGAAAGTATCTTCAACCTGATCATTCTTTGATGGAAGGGAGACAGTATTTGTTGTTATGGCCAACTGGTTGCCTTCAAGTCATTTTCAATTTATGGTTGACCTAAGGCAAACCTATCATTGGATTTTCTTGGCAAGCAGTATTACTACCAAATACTTAGAAAGTCCAAAGTTCATGCTCTGCAAAGGAGCAAGCCCATATATGTGATCATGAATGCAATACATTTGATTCTTTTTATTTATTTTTCTTTCAGGTTATAAATTAGTAATAGACAACCATTCAACTTCCACACTTTGAATATACTGGTACTACCAAAATCACACCAGAAACATATTTTGATTTGGCTAAGAAACATAGGGAAATATCCAGGAGACTTATGCTCCTGATAGCCTGCTAGACAGTTGTTTGATGGAATATCATGAATTTCAATATATACAGAAATAGTATATATAGAGAGAAAGAATCACTGGATTTGAGGCAACAATTCTATTGGCTGTGTGGATGGGGTTGGACATGAAGTACTACAAGTACAACACAAATAACTAAAATAGATTTAAGAAGACAGGCTGCAGTAAAATGTTTGTTGTTTAATAGCTTCTGTAGATGGTCTGAGTTCCTTGGACAAACTTATTCAACACAAGCACATAGGGTCAATTTTATGTTTATTTATAACTTTTTTCTTTTCTGTAAACAGAAGTAGAAGAGAACAGTTTCAACTGTTTCATTTTTCAGCTTCAACTATTCCAGCTGAAACTACAAGCTCATATGTAAAACTGGAAAAAATAATGATTTTGCTATTATGTACCTTGAAGTCTTTTTTTATTTATGGAGACTCTAAGGTGACCCTATCATGGCACTTCTTGTCTCTGTCTTCCTCTGGGGCTAAGATAATGGAGACCTGAATCTCGAGAGTTGAAACATGATACTCAAACCACTACACCATGTTGATCTACCACTAAGTATTGCTATGCAGTTATAAATAATAAAAACTTTTTAAAAACCAGTAAACTTTACATATTAGGAATGTTCCCTGAAAATAATTCTATAAAATCAAGTATTCTTTAGTCTGGAATTTTTAAAAAATATTGTACTTATCTACATAATTTGTGATTTTTCTGACTTATTTATAAAAGGTTTTAAGTCCCCCAAGTTTGACAAGTACTACTACAGGAAAAAATGGATCTGTCGACAGTATCATCAAGCGAAGCAGAATAATGTTTACTACAGTAAGTCTATTCATCATTTCTTCATATGGGATGTAGATTAAGCCTAAGAGTATGGGCCAGATAAAGAGTATTTCAATTTGTGTTGCAGCCAAGAGAAGAAAACACATATCCTGAACTGATAAGAGAACTGAGCTAAATGAGCTAAATTTTAGTTGAAGGGTGGCCAAAGTGCACCCCCCCCCTTCTGATGTTGTTGGACTGCACCTTCCATGAGCCCCAGCGTAGTCAGTGGTTAATAATTCTTAGAGTTGTAGTTCAACAGCTGGAAGGCTGCATGGTTACTACCACTGGTTAACTCTATTGCCTAAATGACAAATTCTCTTAGGTTAGTTATTTCTCAAGTTTATTTACACTTTGGAATAAGTAAGAAAATAAAAGTAATCTAATACACAAAATGTTTGCAGCATTCAATGAAATTTCCAAATACCAAAAATACATTTTCTAGGTATTTTCGTTTTGGGGTTGAGGTGGGGGGGAGAGGGGGAAGAGAAGTACACAAAATGAATTGTAATAATTGTCATACTGCATACTATTACAACTTTTCAGAAATGTTATGCTAAAAGATGTATAAGAATGTAGGCCAAGAGTAATAATTTTATTCTTATTCTATTGCTGCTCTCCTCAATTGCCAAATCAAAAACTGGAAAGTTGCAATACATAGAGCTTAACTCCAGGCTAACTTAAGAACTGTTATCATGTATTATGAGCCTCCTGGGCTCTACAATCTTGTGCTATTGTGCTGAGGTTTTGTTTTTGTTTTGTTTTTAATGGATTTTAATTGTTTTAATTGTATGGGTAGTTTAATTCCATTTCAATGATGACAATTTGGTGTTTTACTGTTTATAAGCATTTTAATAGTTTTACAGAATTTCTTCAATTCTAAGATGCACATTTCCCCTATATAAACATCTCTAAAATTGTGTGTGTCTTAGAATCACAGGTATATCCTGCTATACCATAATATATTTTTGTTGGTGGAGGTAGTATGTCTTACAATTGATGGTGTCTTACAATTGAAGCAATGTGGTAACATTTGTAAGCTGCCTAGGGTCCCAGAAAGGATGGAATATATATAATTGTAAAGGTAAAGGTTTCCCCTGACATTAAGTCTAGCTGTGTCTGACTCCGGGGGGTGGTGCTCATCTTCATTTCTAAGCCAAAGAGCTGGCATTGTTCGTAGATTCTCCTAGCTCATGTGGCGAGCATGACTGCATGGAATGCCATTACATTCCTGCCGATGGGATACCTATTGATCTACTCACATTCGCGTGTTTTTGAACTGCTAGATTTGCAGAAGCAAGGCCTAACAGCGAGAACTCACCCCTCTCCCCGTATTTGAACCGTCAATGTTTCGGTCAGCAAGTTCAGCAGCTTAGCAAGTTAACCCACTGTGCCACCAGGGGGCCTATATATATATAATAACAATAATTTAAAAAACAGCAATAATATATAGTATGGCCTTAATTCCTATAGGGGATACATTCCCAGACTTTGCATGCATGTGTGAAATCACAAGTAATACTGAAACCAAATGAAACACCTCTGGTCCAAGAATACCATGAAACAATACAGGAGGAACTAGATACTCCCTGATGACATATTTTGAAGAAGATGAGTAAATCAAACCAAAAATACCATTCAAGTGAATATGGGAGATTGTACTGTATATATTCATTTTAAATAATACAGAAATGAGAAATGAAGCCCTCAGGCTGGAGATGTAAATAAATCAGTGATGAAGAGACTACCATCTTCTGGGACAATCTGTTCCAGTTCTACTCTAAGTGTTGGTACCAGTCTGTGAGCCATAAACTGCTGATCCTTGGGGAGTTTCCAGGAAAGTGAAGAACTGTGGCAGCCAATGGATACAAATAGGATATTAGTCCCTACTACACTGGGAGGAGGGAATCCTGGTCCCCCGCATTAAATAACTTAAGAAGCATTAGTCTGTTCCACTGTCGTAAGAGCTCTCACCATTAAGAAATCCTACCTCATGTTTAGTCTCAATCTCCTTCTTGCAATTTGAATCCACTGTTTCAAGGTGTATCTACTGGAGTTCACTTTATCCGAGATCCTAAAGTAAAATGAACAAAGAAAGCAAGGTTTGTCTTGGCCTTAGGTAGTTATAGGGTTTTTTTTTTTTTAGTATACTAGGAAATTGCACACAGTTGCTGAAGGGAGTCAGTTGGACATTGGCAACAATTCTAGAATATAATGACCTTCCAAACCTCTAATGTAGCTATATTGCTCCTTCCTACATAGATTTCCCTCAAAAATAGCCTTAAATTGGACACCAGTCTTAAATGTTCTATACACACTTAACTAAATCTGAAGGAAAAGTAAGGCAAATTTAGAGGAGTACACAAAAGCTGCATATAGTAACTGTATAAATGGATTGAAAAGCATAAATGCCAATCTATAGTGTGAGCTTTTTTAAGAAATTGTAATACATATTATTTGCTCAAATGTTTTTGGAAATTTAGAATCTCTTGCAAAAATGAGTACATGTTGCACACAGAAAACAAACTGATAATTACTTGACATTTTAAGCACAATAAATCAGCATATGATGCCTTTTTTTCTTTTGCAGCCATCACGTTTCATGATTAGAAGGGATGGAGATGCTAGCCAGACACCAATCTCCTCCCCATCACGTACAGGGTCCCAATATAAAAGCCGTGAACATGTTGTGATGGAACATTACAGAAATAAAACCTAAACAACAAAGCAAAATCAGTGATCTGAATTACTGTACTGAAATTAAATTTCAATCTTTCATTACCAGGACATCTAAAGGTCAAACTTCAAACTTTCTTTACCTGCTACTGAAAGGAATATCTGTCAGGTCATAACTCCTTTATTAACAACATGGGACATAAGCAACTACATATATGTGTAAAGTAACTCCTTGTCTATAACATATGATTCAAAATAGTGTCCATCAGGTGAGGTGGATACTATTTTGTATTTATATTTGCACCACCTTTGAACCCACTCATCAAACTGACTTTGGAAAAAAACTCTTTGTGGCAGTACCCCATACAGTAACTGATAGTGCCTTCCACTTTGGCTACATCATTCAAACTCCATCCCTGAAGGCTTTTCTTCATCTGACTGAACAAGTGAAAGTTGGAGGGTATGTAGGGAAAAATCAGGGATGTAGGGAAAAATGTAGCATCACTGACCACTCCATTGGTACATGAATCTATGATATTGCCTCAGAAGTGTGGGGCTATGCATTATTTTGGTATAACTGGATTGCATTCAGCGGTTTTTGTAATATTTTCTTCAATCGCTTGTAAAAGTTGCTGGAGTGATTGAATGTAATTACACCCTCAAGAAAATCTATAAAATCAGCCCCTTGTCACCACAGAAGAAAATGGCCATAATCTCCCCCTTATTCCACAGAATTGAGCTATAGCAGTTAAAATGGCATCAAACTGCATTAATTCTGCAGTGTGGATGTACTCATGGGTAACTTGAAACTAGCAGAATGGTGATATGTGATCCTTTATAAGGAGACATGACTTTTTGTCCCCATTCTGACTGGGACTTCAAGGATCTGAAGTCCAAAATGTCTCAGGAAATTAAAGCTTCATACCACCGGTTTGCGGTCTGGAAAAATGCAGGAACAATTACTATTATTGCTGCTTTGGAATTCTGAATCAAACATTTTCAGGTCAAATAACTGAACACAGCACTATTCATTTTTGTTTGGAAAATAGTCTGGTCTGGAGTGTATAACCTCAGCACTAACTGGATGCTCACAGTGAAGGGCACATTTTGATTTAACTTTGCCTATACTTGTGAAGGCTACAAAATTAAGTATATTAAAGCTGTGTTCAGAAATCTGTTTTTCTACTTACTTCGAAAAGATATTTCTGCTGTGCCTCCACCGTGATTATTATATAGACTCTCTGATGCTATATACAAAAAGCATATAGGAAGAAGGGAAGGATGAGGCTGCTTAATATAAGCAAATACATATTATTTTGAAATGTGTAAAGCCAGCAGATAACACTGGGAGAAACATATTAAAAGTTTTGGAAATTAGCAATGCTGTCAATAGACACCAACTCATGAGGGTGCTTTTGGATGGTTTATCACAGTTCTTTTCTGGTTCCCAGGCAGCATTACACTATATTTCAATAACTTCCTCCAACATTCACATAGGCCCCTTCTACACACAGTTTAAAGTAGGATAAAGGGGGAGGAGCTAGATGACACACATTGAAAATGAGTGTTGAATGGTGGGATGACATGAAAAATATGTGATAGAGATTTGCTTAAAGTCTGCAATCAGACGAAAAATGCGCTGCTAGGGAACACTGTCTATTTCTGCACTAAAAAACAAAACAAAAATGAGGGTTCCTTGCGATACACTGGTGTAGGCTGTTCCAGGGTTTATCCTCATTTTATAATCCCTAAACAGCTGCAAAGAGCAAAGCAATGTAACTACATGCAGTCCCCAAGTTACGAACAAAAAGGCTCTGTTGTTTTGTTCTTAAATTGAATTTGTATGTAAGTCAGAATAGGAATGTTTTTAAAGTGTAACTCTAACAAAAATATGGGGTTTTTTTTAGCTTTGAATAGTATAGAGAAGGATTAACCCCTGTGGTCTCTGGTTGCTTCTGGTTTGCAAAATCTGTGCGTGTGGGTTTTTTTCTTTTTCTTTTTAATCTGTGTGTTTGTTTTGTTCTGTTAGAATTGTAACACCATGGTATGGTTGCTGATGACACGATAAATAAATACCCCTGTGGTGTTTGTTTTGCTGTCTGTGCTCCTGTTCAAAAGATTTCACTTCACTTTCTGTCTCCACAATAATTGGATTTTGAAAAATGTGGCTTGTTGTGGAAACAAGAATTGGTGATAAAGCCACCTTTCACACATGATAACTTTCAGGAGTTCATTTCCCTTCCAAGGGGTATATTTCCTTCACTTCCTATTGTTTCACTCCCATTTGTAACTATGAGTTGTTTGTAAGTCTAGTGTTTGTAACTCGGGGACTGCCTGTATGTGACTGGATCTATCTCCTTGAGTATTAAGTTTTAAAATAGTTATATAATATTACCATAACAGTTACTTCTGCATTGTGACTTATATATTGGGTTGTTGGGAAATTCTGTGACACTGTTCAATAACATGTTATTCTAATTGGACTGTTCATTTGCGTGGAGATAGTTTAAGTCTTGATGCCTACTGAGGCATCTACAAGGCATGCAATTCAATATGTGTTCCACATACAGAAGCTGCATGATAGCTGTTCATCGATTTTGGAAGAGCTTGTAACAATGAGGCCCGATGATACAACACTTTCATCAATGCACAGAGAAATAGCATCCCAGCAAAAGAAAATGGGCCATTCAGCTGACCTAGCTTTCTTTGCCTTTCTGAGAATGTGATTCATTATATGACACAAATCTTAACAGCCTTCCCTGATCTACTCCATCCATTTAAAATATGGCCTGACAGCTTTACCTTATTCCTTTGTTCCCCACTCTAGTAGCTGGAGATTAAAGGGCAATCTCGAGCAAAAGGTGAATGTTTGAAATAGAAAACTAGTAATCATGGGAAAAGAGGAGGAGGAATAGAAAGTAGTGGAAAGAAAGAGGAAGACATTTACAAAGTGCTAAAAAGGAAACCATATTTCCAAATCTTTTAAAAAGGTAACAGGCTCATTGATTGGAAAGGCTCTATGTCTCAGCCTAGCTGTTTTAATGGCCCTTTTCCAAGAGAATGGGGAAAAGACCTCTTATGCATTTCATTTGTACACTTAGGAGGGTTTTCACATGAGTCTTGAGCCTGTATCTATCTAAATGGTGTGGCTTTTTTTCCTGCTCTCTTGTATCAGGTGCTTAAAAAGGCAGTCTTGAGACAGAATATTATGTGTTCTTGACTCTTGAGTCTAGGGGCTTCAGAACTCAACCCCTCCCAAATAGCTATATGAGATAGCATCCTTAATAAAAGATCTTCCATTATCTAACTTTTCAAACAAGCTAATTTCAAGCACAGATCTGTTTTCACATCACAATGTTTATGGGGCAGCAATATTTCTGCATGTCTAGTCTCACTTAAGGTATTGAAGTAGATTCTGATTAATTCTTAGATGAAAATAAATACACACACCAGCATAGAAGAGAAACTCTGGATTCAAAGATAAAAGCAATATTGGCAATCTGAATGTATAGTTCTGCCTACAATAGTGGGATTGAAATTTGAAATTATGGCCATATCTTTCAACTCAGTTTGAAGAATCTGATTGTTTATGAAAGGTTTGAAAAGCAGAGCCAGTGGTAATAATATAAACAGTTTAACCTGTGTCTTTATCAATTGTTTTAATAGATGAAACATTTTATTTAGCTTGTTTTCATTTCACACATATTATAACAACACATTTTACTTTAAGTGGTATAAACATTATCTGATAAAAAAAACTGGAGCCTTTAATTGACGCTCTTGCTGCACCACAGAAGTAGCAGGTGATGTGCTAAATGTATGATTTCTATCTTTAAGCCATCAGATTTGCATGCCTTCCGAATGCTGTTGCACAAACTGTACTCTTTCAGTATCTGAGAAAAAAAAAACTAAGAACTGTGAATGTATTTTTGTTACTAATGTGGCTTTACTAATTAACACCTGTTTTTTTCATACTAGTTACAGTAACATACAGGTGCTGGCAGTGACCAAAAATATGACTTTTCTCACTCTTTTATTTTCTCACTTTTCCTTACAAAGAGTTTTGTAGAATCCCATTAGAAAGTTACAACTTTCATGTGGAATCAGATCTTTCCCAATAACCCATAACAAGCAATGACGAGGCAGCTATTGTTAAGGCACATCACTGAAAGCCACCTTGGACTTAGCAATGTTTACATGGTCTAAAGAAATGGAACTACTAGGATTTTTAGCATAATGTTTTTATGGATAACCTCAGTGGGAATTTTAATGGTATATGATGCATTTATTAAGTTTGCTGTAGATGGTTTGTGTCACATGCAGTTTGTTTATCTGTTTTATTTGGGGTTGTGATGTTGTGCTTTTTGTGTCATTTAATTTCTGTTGTTTTAATCATTGTTCACCGATTTGCATCCCACCCATGAAAGAAAAGCAGGATATAAATAAATAAATAAATAATAGCCCAGGTCTTAAAAACAATGAGTATGATAGCACACAAATAATAAAACTGTACTTTTATGTACATTGTTTCCAGTAAGCATTCAGAGTTATAATTTCAGTTGGTATATTCATTTCAAAAGAGAACTGCAATTAAACTGAGAGTGGATGTGTTCTCAGAGAATAACTTCATATGAATAACTTGCTGAAAATACATACAAATAGTGAATATACAAATCAGCTCTAAGAATACATCCATGGAGATACACATTGAAATATATACTAAATATATGCTTAAAGTCAGATTTTCCTACAATTTTCTTCCCCTTCTAAGCTGGATGACCATCTGTCAGGGGTGATTTGAATGCAATATTCCTGCTTCTTGGCAGGGGGTTGGACTGGATGGCCCATGAGGTCTCTTCCAACTCTTTGATTCTATGATTCTATCCCTCCTTCCCTAAAGGTAAGCTTTGAGGCATCAAATGAAAGTGATAAGACTGGTGGAGTCATAGGAACTTGTGGGTATTATGGACAGATATCCCAGTGGATATGTCTGTGGTGATGAACCACAAAGGTGCGTCTAGCCTACTCTGACCTGGACTGCCTTCTACCTGGAAACCAATGACCTCACTGCAGAAGAACATATGGATCAAGACACCTACGTATCCACCTCCAAGACATTACACTTGGAGGGCCATCATCCTCAAGCTGTAAGGTATCACTTAAGTAAGCCTAGGATAATGAAAGTGGATTGTTTGGGGTAAGAAGACCCACTTACAAAATGTCACCCCATCCATTAAGACGGGTTCCAACCTCATTTTCCTCAAGGGCCACATCATCCTTATGGCTGCCTTCAAAGGGCCATTGAATCTATGAACTGAGAATCCATGGATACAGAGGGCCAACTATATACACACACACATATAGTGGTCAATGCTCTTTAATAATAAATCTTCATTTATATCCTGTTTTTCTCCCTCATGGGACCCAAAGCAGCTTACGACATATTAAAATCATGTAAACAACAATCCAAATACATTGATGACAAGTATAAAAATCTTTAGATGTTATTGAATGACAACTCCCATCACTTTTGATTATACGTCATGCAGACAGGGAAGAATGGGAATTGCAACCCAATAGCATTTAGGCCTCTGAGGTTGGGGAAAGGTTAAAAGTCATTTTAAAGTCAGACACCATATCCACAAGATTTGGATCTAAATCCAATCCCCTCTATCCTGACTACCGTAAACAGAACAAACTGCAGCCTATCAGATGTTACCGAATGACAACTCCCATCGACTCTAGTTATGAGGTCTAATGCTGGGCAATACAGGAGTTGTAGGCCAGCATCTGGAGGGCCATAAAATGACAGAGGGCCGGATTTGCCCCACTAGCCTTGCCACATGTGCATTAAGATGTAAGGCAGCCAGCTGTGCAGGTTGCCACATTCTCAGTGTCGGGATGGAAGAATTTATTTATTCATTGGGTTCTTGTAGATTTTTCGGGTTGTATGGCCATGTTCTTGAATCATTCTCTCCTGATGTTTCACCTGCATCTGTGGCAACCTTCCTCAGAGGTTGTAAGGTTTGTTGGAAACTAGGAAAATTGGGTTTATATATCTGTACAGTCCAGGGTGGGAGAAAGAACTCTTGTCTGTTGGAGCTAGGTGTGAATGTTTCAATTGGCCACCTTGATTAGCATTTGATGGCTTGACAGTTTTTAGGTCTGACTTGTTACTGACTGGGAAAATCCTTTGTTGACAGGTGATTAGGTGTTCCTGATTGTTTCTTGTCTGGAGTTCCCCTGAGTTTTGTTTTTTATTTACTGTTATAATTTTAGAGTTTTCTGAGTACTGGTAGCCAGATTTTGTTCATTTTCATGGTTTCTTCCTTTCTGTTGTAATTGTCCACATGCTTGTGGATTTCAGTGGCTTCTCTGTGTAGCCTGACATGGTGGTTGCTAGAGTGACCCAGCATTTCTGTGTTCTCAAAGACTATGCTGTGTCCAGGTTGGTTCATCAGGTGCTCTGCTATGGCTGACTTCTCTGGCTGAAATATTTATTTATTTATTTATTTATTATTTCACTTGTATACTGTATTTCTCCCTGCAGCCGGAGATTCAAAGCTGTTTCCAACATAATTATGGCAACATTTCATGCCTCACATACAGGAACCTAACATAACAATAACATATGATTATCAATTAATTTCTATGAAACACATATACTCTGTACCAGAATCCATAAGGGGAGAATAGTGGGAAAACAAAATATCAAACAAATAAAGATTATTTTATGGTCATCACTTTTTGGAAAATGTTTATCATTATCACGCTGGCACCACTTCCCTCACTCTTCACAGTCCTTTACTGAGGTCCCGACGAAACTATAATGCTCACACATAGGGAAAGGCGAGTTCAAGTAAATCAGTGTTTCTCAACCTGGAGGTCGGGATCCCTAGGGGGGTCACAAGAGGGTGTCAGAGGGTTCAGCAAAGACCACCAGAAAACACTGTATTTTCTCTTGGTCATGGGGGTTCTATATGGGAAGTTTGGCCCAATTCTATTGTTGGTGGGGTTCAGAATGCTCTTTGATTGTATGTGAACCAAAAAATCCCAACAACTACACCTCCCAAATGTCAATGTATATTTTCCCCAAACTCAACCAGTGTTTTCATTGGGGCATATTGAATATCCCAAGTTTGGTCCAGATCCATCAATGGGAGGGCTGTTTCTGAGACTCCAAGTGGGGAGAGGAGAGCAGGCATGCTTGGCGCATGGCAGCATGGTTGGAGGGAGGCTCGTGCCAGCAAATCCCTTCAAGACATGTGAATTCTGTGTAGGAAGTTTGGCCCAATTTTGTTGTTGGTGGGGTTCAGAATGCTCTTTGAGTGTAGGTGAACTATAAATCCCAACTCTCAAATGTCAAGGTCTATTTCCCCCAAACTTTACATTTGTGCATATTGAGTATTCGTGCCAAGTTTGGTCCAGATCAATCGTTGAGTCCCAGTGCACTCTGGATGTAGGTAAACTACAATTCCAAAACTCAAGGTCAATGCCCACCAAACCCTTCCAGTATGTTTTGTTAGTCATGGGAGTTCTGTGTGCCAAGTTTGGTTCAATTCCATCTTTGGTGGAGTTCAGATTCCTCTTTGATTGTAGGTTAACTATAAATCCCAGAAACTACAAATGACAAAATCAATCCCTGCCCTGCAACCCCACCAGTATTCAACTTTAGACGTGTCAGATATTTCTGCCAAATTTGCATCCTGCATATCAGATATTTCCATTACGATTCGTAACAGTAGCAAAATTACAGTTATGAAGTAACGAAAATAATTTTATGGTTGGGGGTCACCACAACATGAGGAACTCTATTAAGGAAGGTTGAGAACCACTGAAGTAAATGGAAGCCTCTGTGACAAGAGAACAAACTGGGATTTATGGAGCCAGGCAGGAGGGTGTAAACCAGTTTGCACACCCGCCACCTGAAGGGTTTTAGACTGTCCCCGATTTTTAAGACAATTAAGTTTTCCCTCCAACAGATGATGGAGATAATATTCTTTGCAAAACGTGTTCTCCTACACATAGAATCATAGAGTTGGAAGAGACCTCATGGGCCATCCAGTCCAACCCCCTGCCAAGAAGCAGGAATATTGCATTCAAATCACCCCTGACAGATGGCCATCCAGCCTCTGTTTAAAAGCTTCCAAAGAAGGAGCCTCCACCACACTCCGGGGCAGAGAGTTCCACTGCTGAACAGCTCTCACAGTCAGGAAGTTCTTCCTCATGTTCAGATGGAATCTCCTCTCTTGTAGTTTGAAGCCAGTGTTCCGAGTCCTAGTCTCCAGGGAAGCAGAAAACAAGCTTGCTCCCTCCTCCCTGTGGCTTCCTCTCACATATTTATACATGGCTATCATATCCCCTCTCAGCCCTTCTCTTCTTCAGGCTAAACATGCCCAGCTCCTTAAGCCGCTCCTCATAGGGCTTGTTCTCCAGACCTTTTATCATTTTAGTCGCTCTCCTCTTGACACATTCCAGCTGGAGGTATTTATTATCTGAACGTCATCAACTCAAGACCTGGGCTTCTTTTTTCAGAACTGAGAGCTGCAAAGCAAACCCCGAAGACCTCCTTTCCCTCTGTTTCCCGAGCGACGATTCCGCGACGTTCCCTGACGCTTTAAATGCCAAGTGCGTGATGAAGAGCTCACGCAAACTACGTCAACCAGCGGCCTGCCGTGGTGCATGCTGGGAGACGCGGACCGAGGGGCGGAGCCTCTTTGGCTCGCTTGGCCTGGCGGTGGGGAGCGGGGGGCGGGGTTTAAGAGCCTGGAAAGCGCGCGCGCTTTGAAAGCGGGTTTGATTGGTTCCCGCGCTCCGCCGCTGTCGTTTCGCGCGCCTTGTTCGGTACAGTTTGGGGGTGCAATGAGGGAGGGAGGCATCTGTGGAAGGGAGCCCAGTTAGCGGCAGCCTTGAGTACCCCTCTCCCTCTTCCCTCCGGCGGCCCTAGGAAGCAGCCCTGACCCCCATCTCGCCTCCTTTAAGGTAACAAAAAGGGCAGCAAGGGAGATCTTGTCCCTTTAAGTGGTTCACGGGTGGCGCAGGATATATATTTCGTCAGTGATGGAATCAAAACAAAGCGGCTCCCTTCATTTTTATTCATAAAAGGTAAAGGTTTCCCCTTTGACCTTGAGTCTAGTCGTGTCCGACTCTGGGGGGTGGTGCTCATCTCTATTTCTAAGCCGAAGAGCCGGCGTTGTCCATAGACGCCTCCAAGGTCATGTGGCCGGCATGACCGCATTTATTTATTTTATTCCTATATGTGTTTATATCTCTTCCGACAGGTCTATCCAGTTAGCTTTCAATAATGAGTGTTGATTTACATTTTTTTGCCACTATATGTCAATTCTTTATATTTGGTATACGTTTTCTCATGTATGAGGGTGTGTGTAATCTATGTAATTAATTGTATTTTTAATGTTCATTTGTTTTTGAACTTCACCATGAGCCATCAGGAAAGGCGGGTAATAAAGAAAATATTGCTATTATTATTATTATTATTATTATTATTTACTGTAGATATGTGTGTACATGAATAGGGTAGGCCAAAAGTCACAAATAGGTTCTATATATTTTGATTTTAGTATTTTTAGTATCTTAGTTTTTATCTTGCACATGCGGCCCGCTCATTGTTATGTTATTTTATTTTACTGTGTATGATTTTGCTTTATTGTCTTTGTACTCATATGTTGTGTGCATTTTACAGAGTTGTAATTGTGTTTTGGTTTTACTTTATTGTAATATGCTGTTGGGCTTGACCTCATGTAAGCCATCCCGAGTTCCCCTTGGGAAGGTGGTGGCAGGGTAAAAAATAAAGTTTATTATTATTATTATTATTATTATTATTATTATTATTGTATATGATGCCATTTATGAGATGTATGATGTCTTGGATGACACTTAACGAGATTTTATTTTTCACAGAGTATGTAAATTTACACAGATAGGTAGATAGACACATACTATTTTATATATAAATGTGTGTGTATATACACACACATATATGTACACACTACATATGATCCTATGCTGTTGCAAATTAAAAACAAAAGGAGTTATTAAATATTGAAGCCCCCTGGTTTCTTTTGGCCCGCCCAGTATGTGTGTACAGAAAGTCCCCACGTTACAAACAAGACTGGTTCTGTAGATTTGTCCTTAAATTGAATTTACATGTACATTCTTAAGTGTAACTCCAGCCAAATCTATGTAATCTTTGGATGGCATAGGGAAGGGTGAACACCCCTGTGGTGTTTGTTTTGCTGTCTGTTCCCCTGTTCAGAAGATTTCACCTCACTTCCTTTCTCTGTGATAATTGGATTTTGAAAATAATTGGCTTGTTGTGGAAAAAGATTAGAGAGAAAGTTTCAGTGGAGAAACCTTTTCCCCTTGACAACTCTTTCAGGAGTGAATTCTCCTTCCGAGGGGTACATTTCTCTCACTTCCTGTTGTCCCACCCCCATTTGTAACTGTGAGTCATTTGTAAGTCGGATATTTGTAACTCGGGGACTGCCTGTATATGAGAATCTGCAGTATCTTATTCACTCTCCAGGGATTCCCAAGCTTTGGTCCTCCAGAGGTTTTGGACTTCAGCTTCTGGGATTCCTGACAGTTGGCCAAGATGTTTGGGGTGTCTGGGAGTTGAAGTCTTCAAAAGGTGGAGAACCAAAGCTTGGGAACCACTCACCTACACAAAAACTACGTGATGCACAATTATCGTTTATGACATGCGAGGCTGAGACTCAGGAAGCATCTGTTAACACATTTATGGTTTATTGAAGTACCAAGTGGAAGTATCAGCCTCATTTTAGTTAGTCACAAGTTTCTGTGTAAAATTAACATATTGATCCACATTTATAAATTATATAACATATATCCTTCTGTCTACATGAAGGGTGAGTAAGCAAAGACACCAGATTCTGAGGCATCTAGTTCCTTCCTGCCATATTCTCATAACATTTGGGTGCGGGGGTGGGAGATAGGTAAGCATGGAAGTAAGTCTTGTAGTGATTTTCAGGGTTCAGTGAAAACTCCCAACCTGGACCTCCTGAGTTCCAGTCTGACATTTGATCCATCACACCACACTGCATCTTTAGAAGCATTTGTGTTTGTGTTTTTTCCTTACTAGTCGGACAAGCCTGACCGAAGCACAATGGGAATCCCAGGTTTGCTCCAGTTTATCAAAGAGGCTGCTGAACCTACTCATGTCAAGAAGTACAAGGGACAAGTAGTTGCTGTGGATACTTACTGCTGGCTGCATAAAGGAGCCTATGCTTGTGCTGAAAAGCTGGCCAAAGGAGAACCAACAAATCAGTATGTTTAAAGCTAACTCATGGGTTTTGTTTGTTGTTTGTTTGGTATACAACCCTTCAACATTTGCTGGAGTTAGGGGCACAAGACTCCCTTAAATTTTTTTAAATGCAAATTAATATTTTTACCATCTTGCAATACACAGTCATGGACCAGAAAATCATATTATCAATATTTTGTTGAATGCAATAGACAACAGTTGATAAATGCCTTCCTAACCTTGTGATATTAGAAGAGGAAGGTCATTTTCACTTGTTAAAGGTAAAGGTTTCCCCTGACATTAAGTCTAGTCATACCTGACCCAGGGGGGTGGTGGTGCTCATCTCCATTTCTTGATTGAAGAGCCGGCATTGTCCGTAGGCACCTCCAGGGTCATGTGGCCAGCATGGCTGCATGGAACGCAGTTACCCTCCCTCCAGAGCACTACCTATTGATCTACTCATATTTGCATGTTTTCAAACTGCTAAGTTGGTAGAAGGTGGGCCTAACAGTGGGAGCTCACCCCACTCTCTGGATTTGAACTGCCAACCTTTTGGTCAGCAAGTTCACCAGCTCAGTGGTTTAACCTGCTGTGCCACCAGGGGGGCCATTTTGTTAGAAATGATATTTCTTTAGCAAACTGCATTTTACTTTTAAGTGAAATATGTTATGCCAAATGTGTGACGTATTTTTCTTTCTACAGATACGTAATTTATTGCATGAAACTTGTTGATATGCTTCTGTCATTTGGTGTCAAACCAATTCTTGTATTTGATGGATGTACCTTGCCATCCAAAAAGGAAGTTGAGAAATCACGGCGAGAGTAAGTCAAGTTTATAAGTCAGTGATGTGTGGCTCCCGTCTCTTCCAAATTCAGAAAAGTACAAAGACATGCTATTTAAAAATGCTTAGAATCAGGAAACCTAACTAGTATTGTTGCAGAATGTAAGCATGCTTTTAAAATGAATACTCTTATATGAAAATAAACCATATATCCAAATAATCCAAACATCATGTTTTACATAGCAAGAGGGGAGTATATAAAAAGGAACAAACAGTACAAATAATGTAATGAAATCTAGGTTTACAATGTTTTTAAAATCCTTCTGTTATGCTAGATCAGGGGTCCTCAAACTTTTTAAACAGAGGGCCAGGTCACAGTCCCTCAAACTGTTGGAGGGCCGGATTATAATTTGAAAAAAAAAACATGAATGAATTCCTATGCACGCTGCACATATCTTATTTGTAATGTAAAAAACACTTAAAAACAATACAATACTTAAAATGAGGAACAATGTTAACAAGTATAAACTTCTTAGTATTTCAATGGGAAATGTGGGCCTGCTTTTGGCTGATGAGATAGGATTGTTGTTGTTATGTACTTTCAAGTCATTTCAGACTTAGGTTGACCCTGAGCGAGGGCCGGGTAAATGACCTTGGAGGGCCGCATCCGGCCCCCAGGCCTTAGTTTGAGGACCCCTGTGCTAGATTGTCAAGCTGTATCATTTTGGGAATTATTGCCCAGCCTAACTGGACAAAACTGAATTAAGTAAGTCTGCCTTCGACTTTCATGTCTTTTCTTGTGAAAAGTCATTCCAGAAAGTTCATTAACTTGTTACATTTGCATCTAAAATCCTTAAAGGAGTTATAATTAAAGTAGAAATTAGTATGTACGTGAAAATGCTCTTGAGTATAAACATAGAAATCTCTCAATCCTGGCCTGGAAGTCTGTCTCAGTAAAATCAGTGGAATAGCATTCAAGTAATATTCACTTGCATAACAGATTAAGGCACTTGAATTCTCCTGAAAGCAATGTGGTTTTATTGCACAGAGATACACTAATAGTCATTTTTTTCAAGTGCAGGTGAAGCACAGTTAATGTTTCTAAAGGTGTTTAGATTTAATATGAAAATATGTTATTTAGCTCCTCCCCTTTATCAATTGTCAGGCTGCTCAAAAGCACCACCCAGAGTGGATTTTCACAAATGCATTAATGTCTACTTTTTGTTTGATTTTTGTTATCTTGACAAGTTATATATCTGGTTTTCAAATTGCTACATAGTACGCACATTCTTGCATACTGGGCATGTTTTTTGCACCTAAAGTAATTCTATTGCTGCCCACTTGGTTGGTTATGATGACGTGGTATTGAGATGATGGGTTTATTTTCTTAACCTTGAAGAAAACGGCAAACAAATCTTCTGAAGGGGAAACAGCTACTCCGAGAAGGAAAATTATCTGAAGCCAGAGAATGTTTTTCACGGAGTATTAACATTACACATGCCATGGCCTGCGAAGTTATTAAAGTAAGTTATACGTTTTGGATTGTAGTTGTTTGAAAACACCTTTACTTTTTATATTTAGTGGCAAGATAACTGTCTTTCCTTTAACCCTGAAGTTTGCATATATTAGAATGGATTAGAAACTTAAAATTACACATTACTCAGTAATTAACTGTTTTTGGTACATATAAATAGGAGCCCCCGGTGGTGCAGTGGGTTAAACCCCTGTCCCGGCAGGACTGAAGACCGACAGGTCGCAAATTCGAATCCAGGGAGAGGTGGATGAGCTCCCTCTATCAGCTCCAGCTCATGTGGGGACATGAGAAGCCTCCCACAGGGATGATAAAACAAAATCATCCGGGCGTCCCCTGGGCAACGTCCTTGCAGACGGCCAATTCTCTCACACCAGAAGCAACAAGTAAAAAACACTTTAATATGGGAATATTCCATTCAAAGCTTTAAAATCTAATTTTAATCTAATTTTAGTGTCATATACTAATATATTTACTAATAAATAAAAGGTGTGATTCTAACTGAGGTAGGTTTTACCACTGTGTCTTGGTTTAGCATTGAAGGCTTCAGGTGTAGGGTTACATGACTAAACATTTCTCCCTCCTTTCTCATATCGCCCTTACATAAGAATTAAAGAAAAGCCATATTGTATCAAATCAAAGGTCTTTTTTACTCTTCTGTTTATGTTTGAACAATCTTGCCAAGAAAAACTTATGAAATGTTAACCTTAGTGTCACTATTTTAAATCAGAACTGACTCGAAGGCACATAAAAATAGCAACTTAGTTTTCTGTGTTCTCAATCTCTAATTGCATCAGTAACTTGATCTTTTTGGTTGCCCTTTTCTTCACCTTTTCCAGAATGTCTTTTTGTTTTACAGTGACCAGAATTGCTCTAAAAATTCTAGATTTGGTCACACCATCAATTAATGTAAGAGTAGTATGATACTTTAGTTTCACTGCATTTTCTAATTGGGCCCAGCATAAAATTTGCCCTTTTTTTACATCTACCGCACATTGAGTAAAAAATTTTTATTCTGCTATCCGTAGGCTCACAGTCCTGTTTTTGGTTAGTTAATGTCAGCTCAAGTTCCAACATGTATATTTCATTTTGAGTTCTTTAAGAACTCAGGTGAGTGCCATTTGGTCTCAGTTATTGTGGAAGTCTGGATGACGTTTTCAGTTACTTCAATAGTCACTACTGTTTACATTAGCTTTGCACCCTTCCCTTCTGAAAACATTCCTAGTTCAGTGCTTATGGCAGTTATATTTATTTATCGTGTCAGAAGCAAATTGAGAATATAGTTAAAATGTATTTTCAAAAGGGGCAAAGTTAAAAACTTGGCATTGTACTAAATGTCCTTTGTCCAGAAGCCACTTGGAGTGCCTTGGATGTGGTTGTAAGAAGGTCCTCTATTGTGCACGTGGCAGGGCTCAAACTGCATTGTAGTAAGTGGTCTGTGGTTTTCTCTTATCCACACTTGTATGTTGTGGACTTCACTTTGCAGCCCCATTTCTTAAGATTGGCTCTGCATCTCGTGGTGCCAGAGTGCAGCCTGGTCAGAATCTTCCAAGTTGCCCAGTCTTCTGTGTGCCAAGGGGGAGTTTCTCAGGTGGTTTTAGCAACTGTTTGAGGTTCTGGGTTTTAGCCTGCCACTTTTGGACTCTCGCTTACTGAGGTGTTCCTGCAAGTATCTCTGTAGATATTAGGAAGCTGTTTCTTGATTTAAGGCATTGGCATGCTGGCTGATATCCAAACAGGATGGGCTGGAGATATCACTGCCTTGGTCCTGTCATTATTGGCTACTACTTCTCGGTGGATGTCAGGTGCTGCAATACTGGCTAAACAGTATAATCTCTCCAGCAGTGTGGGGCATAGACATCCTGCGATAATGCGGCATGTCTCATTAAGAGCCACATTCACTATTTTAATTTGGTGAGATTTATTCCCCATGGGGCGTGCATATTTAGCAGAAGAGTAGCAAAGTGCAACAGCAGATGTCTTCACTGTATCTGGTTGTGGTTCCCAGGTTGTGCCAGTCAGCTTTTGTATGATATTGTATCTAGCAGTTACGACAGTTATGACAGAGTAGGTTGCTTGTCCCCTATTCAATTCATGGCATCGCTTGTTAAATGGAGGGTGGATTAATATGACTGGGACTCTGGAAAGGTGTCATGCGAGAAAAGGTAGACCAAATCATGATATAATATGGCTTCATGTGTTCATATGTGAGACTAAGAAAATTTTCAAGTATACTGATTCTTTTCAGGCTGCCCGAGCCCAAGGAATTGACTGCATTGTTGCTCCATATGAAGCTGATGCTCAGCTGGCCTACCTTAACAGGATCGGCATTGTTCAAGCTATAATAACAGAGGATTCTGATCTTCTTGCTTTTGGATGTAAGAAGGTAAGAAAGATCCAGGGCAATGCCACATCTCAAATATGCCTTTAACCTGATTCCATCATTCCATATAACCCGGTGTCAGAATGTCAATTTGGTAATTGTAATTCGGACCTAGGTTCCTCATTCCACATGGTCCCTGTACGGTACAAGAATGTGAATATTATAATTTACCAATAATAACTTGTAGTAGAAGTAGTTAAAAACCTATCACAACTTCAAGATGTGGCTTGGAGAGACATTCTTTTTTCTACACTTAAGAAACTGGGATAAAAATGCACTGGATCACAGAATATAAATGAACTGTACTTTTCAATGAACAAAAAAACATTTCTTTCATATGTTTGAGATCTGAGAAATTGATTTTGTGAAAATAGATTATGGGACTACCTAGGTTGATCCTTCTGTAAATTTTAAATTAGAAGAATTCTTGACATCGGAGAGAATGTATATGTGCACTGGATTAAAGTTACTAGAGCTGGATTACTTCATTATTTAGGTGTATACAATATTTCCTTTTGCATAATTACCTCATAGCAATTGTTAGAGAAGTCCTGCAAGGTAGGCAAGCATTGGCCTCCCTGGTGTAGGTGTATAGCCTTTTACCCTACAAGTGCCCTCAAAAACCAGCTTTGAAGAACCTGGAAACATTTCTAGGAAGTATGAAAGCTGAAAAGGGTGGTAGTTCTTTGACTTTAATTGCAGCTATAATAGAAAAAGTTTATTGCAAATCATTTCTTATTCCTTCCCTAAGAAAGCCCTGTGAAGTTCACGGGACATCTGAATCAACAGGTGACTTAAAGTCACAAACACCAAACAGGTGTCTGTCTGATATAAACAATTGCTTAGAGAGACATTATGTCAAAGAATCTACTTGAAGATATTAGATTTGTTTGGGGACACTACAGTCTGCATAAACTGTGGGTTTCTATAAAGGACTTGTGATTTTGCTTGTTCTTTTAGGTGTTTCTGAAAATTGATAAGCTTGGAAACGGCTTAGAAATTGATCAAGCTCGGTTAGGGATGTGCAAACAGCTTGGTGATGTCTTCACAGAAGAGAAATTCCGTTACATGTGTATTCTGTCGGGCTGTGACTACCTTCCATCGATTCATGGTATTGGATTAGGCAAGGCTTGCAAGCTACTTAAAATAGCTAACAATCCTGATATTATCAAGGTAAAGTAGTCTTCATCATATCATAGTTCACTTTCATTTTCAGAAGCTTCTGCAAAAAATGGAAAGAAGTTGCTTTACGCAAAGCATTTCATTTAGTTGTTGATGAGCTGGAGATCAGTGCAAAGAAAAGCACTTTAGCAATGGTACACCTCTAATAGTATTACACAGATCACTCATATATTTGTAATATATGTTGACTGGAACTTCATTGTCTCTTGTGTATAGAATTCGGATTCCATATAGGATGTTTTTTGTATCTTTTTGACTGAGCTGATTATTTGTGGTTGCCATTTTGTCACTCTAAATCATCAAAAGCTCTTAGTAATTTCATTCTGGGCTTACACTAGTATTATCATCATAGTTTCTAATAACTGATCAAATGTATGTCATGCAGATTTTATCCAGAAAATGTGGTGGAGTATTTCTGACTGCTGTTTCTCCTAAGTAAATCTATTACATTTTTCCCTAGGTAATTAGAAAAATGGGGCAGTATTTAAAGATGAATATATTAGTACCAGATGACTACTTACAAGGATTTATTCGTGCCAACAATACCTTCCTCTATCAGCTGGTTTTTGACCCAGTCAAGAGGAAACTTGTTCCTTTGAATGCTTATGAAGATGATATTGATCCAGAAACATTGCATTATGCAGGGAAGTATCCTTTCTCAAATAAGAACATAGATCACATAAAGTTCCTTTCCTTTTATGGTGTCTTTTGAGGTCCAGACAAAGTTAAGAACTTTAAGATTGCAGTTATGTGGAATTTCTTGGGGAATAAGTCAGTTTAAAATCTGCACAATCTTAGAACTGGGTCCAGTGATAATTCTGCCAAAAAAATTAATGGAACCATTTTTTCTCATTGCAGTTCTTCAAAAATGCTTGGGAGACTTTCACAACAAATGTTAATCTCTGTGTACAGGATAGAGAGAGAAACTCAGTCGGATTTGAGCAATACTGGAGGCATTTTCCTTATCGTTAAGGACAATTCTATAGAGATCTGTAGAGAAAAAGCTATTCTTTGTAAAGTTTAATATGAATAATCTCATGAATTGCTTATACTTTACTTAAATGCAAAGACAATACATCTTTTTGTTTCTTATTTCATACATCTTATGTTTGCATGAGCATTTTTATTGTTTACTTAGGGGATTGGAAGCTGCAAAGTGACACTTCTAAAAACAAGAATATCCATAAAGGAACCTCATTTTTTCCTTAGTTTGATTAACTTAGACACTTTGATGACAGCACTGCTTTTCATATTGCTCTTGGAAATAAAGACATCAATACAATGGAGCAAATCGATAATTACAATCCCGATGCATCGCAGGTAACATGTTGAATTGTATCTAAGACGTGTAGGGAATTTGAAATTATGTGGTTGCCTGATTTGTTGGAGAAAATATGGGCACAAATAAGCTTAATACGTATATATAGAAAAAATACCTTGTATGTCAGCATTTGATATCTTAAAAATACCATATTAGCAAGCCATTCCCTAGAAAAATGATAGATACTAATTTGTCAAAGGAAGCTGTAGGGACCTCACTTGTGTAAAACCTAGAATGTTGTGAGACCTTCTTAGTTGTCATAATAGCAAGAGGACCATGGAATTAACAATAGACTACTTGATAAAGGCAAATCTCCAAATATGTTCCTGTGACTGATAATAGAGAGTGAAGCAAGGACTAGTGATTCACCCATCACAGTGTTACTTACATTGGCCTTCCTGTTACTAGACTTGGTCCTTGTACTTTGCTATACATCAACAAGTGACTCAATAGGTTCAGTGTGTGTTCGCAAGTTAAGACCAATCAATTGGATTGTATCACCAATATAACCTCAAAACAACAGTTCAGTGTTACTCTGCTGGCAATGTAATGTCATGTAAGTGACCATCATATAGCAACATTTTCTCTTCTTTCCCAAAGTAAAGATGATGAAAAGTATTGGTATATGAGATAGAGCAGCAGTGCACCTGTCTCAAGCATCTGTAAGCAGTTGCTGATAAACTTAATTAGCATACCATCAGGCAGAGCTCAATTAGGCCCAGAAGCCAATGAGTGGCCCTCTTTCTGTCCCAACTCCTTCTATATTATCCTGATAGAGAAGGAGAGAAGAAGCAGACACAGCTCCATCATGCTTAAACTCAGCAACTGATGAGACCCTCCCTCTATAGTTCACCCACCTGTGCTGTGGTCCTTGGAGGAAGAGAACAGCAACCAGTACCTGCTGAATTTAATCCTCTGTCCCATTGCTATTCCCTTTTCCTTATACATCTTTTCTTTTTAGATTGTGAGCCTGAGAGCAGGGAACTGCCAAATTAATAAGTGTAAACTGCTCATTTAAATAACTATGTACACTGATGACACTATATTTGTCATCTTCATCTAGGAGTCTCCCCAGTCAGGGCCTAAATACCCATTATAGTATTGGGCAAGGACTGAATAGCCACCAGCAAAGTTTTGCTGACGAATTTTCAGTGTGTGTGTGTGTATGTCTATGTCTATATCTTTCTTTCTTTCACACATATTTATTTTTGTTGTCTCTTACTGTAGCCAGTGCAACCCAGAAGTCGTGGCTGGGATAACCAATGTGCTAGCGAGAAGCCATCCAGTCTAAAGAGCATTTGGAGTAGAGACTATAAGCCTGGTTTCACTGCCAGTGATATCAAAAACCACAAACCATTGTTAAAAAAACCCACAACCAGAGGCATGGAGCAGTTAATTAACACAAAAGGACTAAATCTTCCTGGCAAAGCACTACTGGCAAAAAGGCCAAGACTTGGTATGACCATTTTTTAATTACAGATGTTTTCTGTAGAAAGGAAAATGCCAATTAGGTTGTTCAAATGGTACCGAAGCTTAAGATTTAAACTGCATATTTTTGTGTTAATTCCTTCTTGGTCCTTTATATGTTGTGAAGGAATTACTAATACAACATTAAAGAATCACATAATACAAGAATAGTTGGCATATTTCCATAATACTTTTAAAGTCTATTTTTGCTATGTTTACTTTTCTGCTTCTGCTCTCAACAAATGTATTGATTTGGTATTTGAAAGCTTGGCATTTATTCCTTTTCCCCTGATAAATAATAATAATAATAATAATAATAATAAGCTAACAATCTATCTCTCAGTGCATATGGGAGAGGGACAGCCAATCAATGAACTTTTCTTTTTCTTTTCTTTTTTGGAAAACAGTATTTTACAATATGTTACTTTTATGCTCAAGTATAATCTGCATATATATTTATGTTTAGAAGAGCTTTCAGAAGATTTGTTGAGCCAGTATTTTTCAAATCCAAAAAAATCCAAGATAGAAAATGAAGAAAATGGAGAGCATAATGACTCTACTAGTGCCTTGTCTGTGCTCCATTCTTCAAAAGACACTCCCAAGAAAAAGGAGGAGCCAGACTCTCAGCCTAGACCTAGAAACAAATTTGCTTTCATTCTCCAGAAGAAAAATGAAGAGAGTGATGCAGTTGTTGTTCCGGGAACTAGAAGCAGGTATGTCCTCTTTTGCAATAAACAATAACATTCTTAAGGAATATAATTTGACAATTCCCCACTATCTATAAAAATTACCATCATTACTCAAAAACAAAATATTAGATTGCTCAAGAAATGTAATCTGGTTCATACTGCCCATTAGCAAACAAGAGTAAAACACAGCTGTTTTCCAAAAGATGCAAGGGGAACTAACAAGCCTTTTCAGTAATATATTCAGCTCTACTTTAAAAACCTGGTGATATGTCAACTGCCAGTTTTACTAACTGAAATACCCAATGTTACTTAGCTATACCTCACAAGGGACAAATTATACAATTGTAAAGTCAACAATGAATATTTCTAATAAATTGCATTACAAAATTCACACCCAGGTAACACTGGGTACATCAGCTAGTTATTAAGAAATTGTTGTCTTGACTGAGTCACACTCTTGGCCTCAGAGAAAGGTGCAGACAATCCACTTTTAAATAAAGTCTTTAATTGTTGCCTTAAGCAACAATTTTAAATAAAGTCTTTAATTGTTGCCTTGCTTTCACCTGAAGTCGCATTCTCTCACCTGGAGAGAATTAAAAAATTACATTTTACTACACTGATTGCTTGCTTGACTGAAGCGCTAGCCATGACCTTTGGGACTATGTTTCCTTTTTGTGGAGTACAACTGAAGCATCTTCTGCAAAGCCCACTTTAAACATTACATGTTATTAACAGATTTGTGTAAATGGGTAGCATTCAGAAACTTTAATATCCCCATTTTTGGCAACCCTATCATTGAGCTAAGGGGACCCCATTTGGAGTCAGGATCCACAGTTTAAGAAACAGTGGTTTACTTACTTAGATGATCCCTCGTCTGAGTATGATGGCCTTCCAAGTGTAGTGTCTTGGATGTGTAGCTGACTGTGGAGCCCTATTCTTGATCCACATGTTCTTCCAATGAGGGCATCGGTTTACTGTATAGGCAAGTGCGCTTCCAATACATGCAGATACCTGAATATTAGAAAAAACCTCCATGGGAATGAAATGCACCAAACACAACTGGGTTTCTGAGTTCGGTTTATAAGGTTGGACTACAAAGCAGTTGTATGCACGCTCTTGGCCAATGGCAATTATACTAGATTCCTTAAAATGGAGCATAAGTCCCCCCAATTTTAATGATGTGTACTGTAGATGTATTCTATAAACCTATCGGGAATATAGAAAAGATATACCCTATGCTTCAGTAGGTTTCCAGACTGAGTTAGAAAAATGAATATGATAAATAAATTATACTACCAAAGGCCATGGCCCAGTTCCTTCCATCTCTTTTTCTCCCCACAGCCCTCTCTGATGCATAAATGCAAACAGAGTAAAGGAAACTTGGCATGCTCAGCTAGTGCTTGTAGACATTCTGACTAGTCTCCTTTTACAACAAAAATGCTAGGGGCCTTTCTGATGCAGTTGTGTACAAGGGCAGATTTCCTCCTGTTCTTACTTTCTTTCTCTTCCATCTCTTACAACTAAAAATGTTCATGTAGGGTATTGTGTACAATCTGCACAGATTATTTTGTAAGTTATGTAAGCAAAAAAAACAGAGTAAGAAGGAAATGTCTGTAGCATCACAAAATATCTGTTTGTGTTCAGATAAAAAGGAGAACACTTGTATATAGAAATATTGTGAAAGTTTCTGCTAAGCAGTTGGTGTGCATGTCATAGACAGGCAGTATAATAAGTGTGAGAAGTCATTCCCAGTCTTCCGAATTCTTCATAGATTTGTATACTTCAGATTTGTTGATAAGGTAATTAATTTTTCGCATGATAATGTCAATGATGGTTATAGCACTGAAAAATAAATGTATCATTTTAATATCATAGTAGCACTAATATTTTAGTTAAGAAATGCAAAGATTGCTAATAATCTGTTCTGACAGGTGCATTTTGAACTATGGTTAGTGTCATAAGCAGAAGTTAGAAAAGCATAGATCGAGTAGATCACCCTGGGTCAAGCCTAGCTGATCTAATTTTTAAGTTCTTCCATCAATTATTTCCATTCAGCATTCTTAATGTCCGTAGAAATGTTTGATATAAAATATTTCAGCCGATGTTCCAAGTGTCTCCCTTGTAGTGAAAGGTGAACTTCTAACATTGATTAGATTTCTTCATGAAGATGGATCCTTTCATTAACGATCCGCATGCTTCCCATGATTTTACCCATATTAGGTTCTTCTGCAATATAATGGATCTGCCTGACAGACAGCCAAAGGGCAAAGTTCTCCAACCATCCCAGGATTGTGAGACTACTGAAGCAGAATGCACACCAGTGGAAGATCACAGTCCTCACTTATCAGAGGCGGAAGAACTAGAAAGAACCATCCCATCATCCCTTGGGGCAACACAGACCAGCTGCTTCAGTTGGACAAAGAGCTTTTCCGAAAAACCTGAGTCACCCAGCCCATTGCAAAATGTATCTTTTCTAAAGCGATTCCACCGGCAAACACTCAGTAAAGTCACATCCCAGAATTGTAACGCATCACAGATGACGAGTTCCACAATAAGTACAGAGTTGGATGAGGAAGCATCACCTTTGAAAGAACAGGGGAGCTTATCGGAACCAGAACTTGATGTGTCATCAGAAAGCAATCTGGACACGTCAGAAAATTCACCAGTGACCAAGAAAAATGTTGTTGCTGACAGAGTAAGATCATCACTCTGTGTTCATAAAATTGTCATAGTTGTCTCAAGGGTGTCTCTCTATTTATTATAATAGGCATACATCTGGCTCTCTACTATAAAAATGTTTTCTAATGATGAAAAGTGTTGCCTGCCTGCCGGCCTGTCTACTGTATTAAAATTGTTATCTCATACTTACCATGATTCTGGTGATGAGTCAGTTTAAGAAATTATCTAGATTTCCTTGCAAATCAGTTCATAGAATCATAGCGTGGGAAGAGAGAACAAGGGCCACCCAGTCCAACCCCCTATCATGCAGGAACACAGAATCAGATCACCCCTAAAAGATGGCCATCCAGCCTCTGCTTAAAAACCTCCAGAGTTCTTTACACATTAAAACCCATTGGGTTCAGTGGGATTCCATCCAGATAAAAGGACAGAGGTTTTATCCTTTACTCATTGTCAGCAACAGCAGTCTGACAATTATGTTCCTTGACTTGAAATGTATTTTTACTATTTTAGTATTTTTGGGATAAATGTTAAATTTTATAGATTGGCAAAACCACAGTGTTGGATTGGTAATAAAATAATACTTAATCATTGCTTTTTTATTTTTGTTTTGTACCAAAGGAATCTGATCACAGTTCACAAACAGTCTGCAAGCTGAATTCTCAGATCTCTCCATACTTCAGATCATCTTGTACAGATGATAAGGATACAATTCTCAAGAGTATGGTGTGTCTTCCCCCCCCCCTTGTTTGAATCTTTCTTCTTGTGACGTTAGATAGGATATTATGTCTTTCAGAGAATAATTGAATTGTAAATTCTTACAACTAGGAATCCCTTTTGATAGTTATCTTATATTTCTTGTCTTAAGGGTTATGGGATGTTTACAATAGACATTTGATCTTATTCGCATAGCCACTTTGATGTAAGTCAGTCGAGGATACCTGTAAATTGAAAGCAGAAAACCACTTCACTAAGGCAAATAGGCAGGTCACTACAAGGATGGTTTTTGTACAACACATAACACAGTCCATGTTGGAACATGTCACAGAGATGTAAAACCAGCAATTTGATGAAAATCTCTAAAATATTTCACATGCAAATTTATCTTTTCCAGCCAGCACCGAAAATATTGTACTGGCTAGTATAAAAGTATTTATAATCCTTTCCTTTCCCTTCTTTCTTTCATTTGCTTAATTTTCTTAAAAGGAGAAATAATAATAAATGTCTAATCAGTACCTTCAGTAGATATTAAAAACTATCCATTTGTAATATTTGTTATGGGAAATTCAAATTATTCTCTACCCCAATATTATTTTTTGGATTATAGTGACATCTTGTGGTTAGTGCTTTGACTGTGCTGAAATGGAAAGTTCATTCTTCCTCTCCTGTGTCTGTTTGTGTACATATATATGCATTCACGGCTACAGCAGATTTTTGCAAGAATTATGTGATCCTATCTTGGATATTTTAACATTTTAATTACAGCATTATGTATTTCAAATTACTCTTACAGTACTTTTAAAAACTAACATGGGAATAAACAGCTCTAAGTTTTGCTTTTTAAGTGGAATGATCATACAGGCTGAGTATCCCTTATCCAAAATGCATGTGATCAGAAGTGTTTTGGATTTAAAGGGTTTTTTTGTTTGTTTGTTTTTATTTTGGAATACTTGCATATACATAATAAGCTATTTTGAAGATGGGAACCAAGTCTAAATATGAAACTCATTATTCTTTTATGCACCCCTTGTACACATAGCCAAAAGGTAATTTTATATATTTTAAGTAATTGTGTGCATGAAACAAATCTGTGAACATTGAATTGTATGAAAACAAAGCTGTTACTGTCTCAGCCACCCCTGTGGACAGTTTTGAATTCTAGAGTATTTTGAATTTTGTGACAAAGGGAAAGCTTGGTAAAAACCTTATTCCGGAAGAATACACATGCATGTACATACCCCAAAAGCTATTTTCTAAACCCGTTAGTTTTTTTATTGGTAAAGAGCTCATGTGGGATAATAAATCTGTTGAAATTTTCAATGAATTATATTGTTCAGTGTCGCAGTTTTCACATGATATGACAAATATAGTGCTACTCTGAAACAGTTGGTGTTGTTCCACTTTCTATAGGTTCCTGGACTTCATAAAACTAATTCTGCAAATCCCCCTGTTGTAATGAGGCGCAAGTCACTGGTGCCTGCCAGAGCAAGTGGCTTAAGTAAGAAAATTACAAAGTCAAAGAAGAAAAACCATCATGATGTTGAAAATAAATCAAACCTGCAAGTCACAATTCATGAACTGTGGAGAAGCTTCCAGTTTAAAAGGTGAATATTCCTTTTACCTAAGGATCATGTCTTCATTAATTTAAATGTTAAGTTATTTTATTAACATTGAACAATCATATTCAATACAAATCTGATCCCATTGAAAAGGTAGATGGTATTTGTCAGCACACACACACACTCGCTCTCACATGATTGTTAATGTAGCTTTTAGCACAGGCATGTTGGCATTCCCAGAGGCTCAGAATTTCTAAGGTTGATAAGGTTTAAAGTGTGATAGGTTTAACAATCTTGTTAAACCTATCGCACTTTAAGAACTGTGAGGTTGATACAACTACCTGTTGCACTTTAAGAACTGGTAACGCTATTGATAGTGGTTAACATCTATCTACCGCACTTAAGAACTGTGAGGTTGATACAACTACCTGCTGCACTTTAAGAACTTTGGTAGCTTTGTTGATTGTGTTTACCACCCACCCACCATTCATGCTGCTCCCGATTCCCTGGTACTTGCTAACCATTCTGTTAGTTATTTGTGGGGGAGGTAAGGAGGGGAGTGAACCGGAGATTTCTGGAAATAGCAGAGTCCGGGTAAGAAATGAATGGAAGGGAAAACTAGAACGAATTGTATCGG